TTTTTATAAACAAAAAAAAAAAAAAAAAAAAAAAAAAAAAAAACAAATTTCCTTAAAATGAATGATTCTCGGCCGTAATATAAACGAAATGTTTCACAAAAATCTTAAATAATAAAACTTTTTCCAAATCGTACATACAATATAACTACTTTTAACTTATTCAACGATTTTTATCCTATTGTTATCTTAAAATATTCGCATCAAATAGGAGAATATCTATTAACATGTGTCGATTGTATCATGTATGCATGAGCTCATTTTTTAAGAAACAAACATTGATTTATTATTTTTTTTTTTTTGTAAACCAAATAAAGTAAAAAATTCTTTTTTGAGTCCGATAGATAAAAATTTATTATTAATTACCTTTTACCAGTATCATAATCAAATAAGCCAAATTATTAAAAGGCATAAAAGCCCAGTAACTGTTCAACTGCATATATCCCGTCGTTCTACAATCGATGGTATTGTTTTCCTTTTGCAATTATTCAGTTTATACTGAATTATGATATTTAGTTCCGGATGATATTTTGGAACGTGATATTTTTGAACGCGTCCCAACGGTCAATCTTTTACATTTATATGAGTATATATACACAAAATAATAATTTGCAACGCAGTAATATCCCGTTAACTTTGCACGTGAAATAAACGGCTTTTTGATGCTTTGATGCCGTTGATTTGCGTTAAGATTAGTAATACTAGCTTTAACAGGTAATACGGGTAATACGGGTGATAATCATTATATCTCAAGTTATATATATATATACAAGACTTTCAAATTTTATCATTTTTTTTTTGAATTTTTTTTTCTCCTTTAAAAAAAAATTATATAAAAAATGGTGGTTCAAAGTATCGCAGATCAACATCGTATAAATGGAAACGATGCAATCAAGAATAAAGATTATATTAAAGCTTGGGAGGAATATACAAAAGGGTTAAAGATTACTCCAAAAGATCCTGTATTATGGTCAAATCGTTCTTTTGCATGCTTAAAAGCTGGATTTCCTGAACTTGCTTTAATGGATGCTTATAGAGTTATTACTTTATGTGATCAAGATACTATAAAGGATAATGAATCATTAAGAACAGTTTATCAAAAAGGTTATTTTCGTTATGCTGAATCTTTGGATGCGTTAGGTTTACCACGTTTAGCTGAAATAGCTTTTAATATTATAGTAAATGATAAATTAATTAAAGATATTGATCGAAAAAAAGCAATGGATCGTAAATTTAAATTATCTAAAACTAATTTGGATCAAACTCGTCACATGGCTAAAGAAGGTCAAAAAGGTTCTGGAAATTTTAAATTTTTAATCACTGAAGAGGATGTTGGATTTTATAAATTTGATGGAAAATATCCTTGGGATATTAGACCTGATGATCGTATTAAAGAATCAAATTTATTAAAAATTCAACATAAACTTGATTTAATTAGTGATAATAAATTAAAATTGGATTTTGTCAAATTTTCAAGTGATGATGAAAATCCATTAATTCAATTGGGTGTTATATCTAAAGTTGATTTTAAAAATGAAGATATTATTATGGAAGAAAATCCTTTCTTAACTATTCATAATCATTATAATCTTAGATGTGATTATTGTTTTCATTTACTTGATAAAAAATCTTCAAATAATAATGTTGAATATCCTATTGTATATCCTTGTCCTAATCTTTCATGTGAAGAATCTTTTTGTAATGAAAGATGTTATAATTTGGCAAAAGATCTTTATCACGATGAAATTTGTGGTAAAATTATTGATGATTTAATTGATTTTATTCAAAGAAAAAGAGGTGATGTAAGGAATAATAATATTTTATTTATATTGAAATTATTTGCTATAGCGAAAAAAAGAAATATTTGTCCTTTAGATATTGAAGAAATTAATCATCTTACAAGATATCATTCAACTCCTCATAATTTAGAAAATCATGATTTATGGGATGCGGATTTTGAAAAAATTTATTTGGAAATTTTAAAAATCTTGGATATTTCAATTTATGATTTAAATTTTGATTTTTGGATTTTTATTACATTAATTACTACTCTTGCTACAAATACTTTTGGTGGTCCTGCTATTGATTCAAGTGTATATGATACGGCTGCTATTTTTCCTTTAATTTCTTTATTTAATCATAATTGTAAAAATAATATTGAAGGTCAATTATTTTTACAAGAATGGCCAAAATCTATTCAAGATCCTATACCAGCAGTTTATAAAGTATTACGTAAAACTTTACGTTCTATAAATTGTCATTCTTATAGAATGACTATAATTGCCAATGATGATATTAAAAAAGGTGATCAACTTTGTTTAACTTATTGTAATCCTGATTATAATAAAAATGCACGTCATAGGCAATTATTAAGAACTTATGGATTTATTTGTTATTGTGATCGTTGTAAAGGTGAATCTGGTGGATATAACCCTTTACCTATTGCTTGGTGTTTATATTTTCCGGATGATGAACGTGGTAAAGATTTGTTGGATAGATAATCATTAGTGATAGATTTTATTGGCGATTGGCGTGATAAATTGTTGGTCTGGTGAGTGGTGACATGAATTCTTTCTGGATCACGAAAATTTGATTAAAAATCTTGTAATGTTTTATATTTTATTTACCAGTAATTAAAGAAATTTGTGATCGAAATAATTATATTAATATGAGTAAAATCCACAAAATCATAATAAAATGAAATTTATACAATTGTATAAAAAGTCGGCATAATTATAGAATCAACAATCTTAAATTGTTGTTATTTTTTTTTTCTAATACTATCTAATTCCTATCATCATCAGAACAATTAAGCTATTTTTATAATTCCTGAACGATATCAAAATTCTTAAATAATCTTCTGAATAGTATTTCGCATTTTGGAACGGTGACTTCAATGTGATAAAAATTTTAGAACCTGGAAATAAATTGATCGAAAAATGTTCTCAACCCATTATTTTTCATATATAATAAATAATTGATAAGTTGAAAAGTAAACATTAGTCCAGATCTATCAACTTGAAGCAAAATATCAAAAATTAATTAGATCAGTTTGCTTGTATTCAATTTGAATTAATTATGGTACTGAAAATACATTTTATTTATTACTACAGTACTTTTATTTTTATAAGTATCTGAAAACTTATATATGACAAAAAATTCAAATGATTATAATAATTATTAGTAAATAATATAATTGATTTGCAACTGAATTAAAAAAACTTATTATTTATTCTAATTTACTAAAAAAGATAAAAATCCTTCATTCTTTAAATAAAATTTTAAGATGGTGAAGATAATATTAAATGAATTTTCTTTTTCTATAAAAAGTTAAAGTCAATAACAATTTTTTTAAAAAAATAGTTCTTGAAAACCTATTTAATTTCATAATTTAATTTGATTTTTAAATACTACATTCAATAACTAAATATATGTTAGATCTGTTTTAATTGCAATTTTAATTGCTATTATTAACAACTGAACAGTACTTTTTCTAATACTTTAATTATTTAAAGTAATAAATAAAAAAATTTTTATTTAACAAGTTAATTAAAATAAATAAATTAATAAAATTTTTATAATAATTTTTTAAAGAAAAATTAAAATATAAATTTATATTGAATATTAATTTTAATTTGAATAATTTGAAATAATTTAATCTATACTATTAATATATAAAAGTAGCAGAAATTCTATTTTTGTTAATTATTCAAAATTATATATAATAATACTTGAAATTTTAATATGTGATAATATAAATTTTAAAGAATATATATTTAAAATTTTGGGCTTTTAAGCTTTTATATAACTATTTTGATTAATAAAAACTTAAAAGAAATGATAATTGTTTATATATAAAATAAACAAATAATTTAATACTATTGGTTTATTAGAATTATATGTAATATATAATAGTTATTTTATAAAGAATTATAGATATTAATGATTTTTATAGTATAACTGTGAAAATCATGATATTTCAGTAATTTTGTAAAATAACTGATTTATCTTACAGTATCTGTACTATGAAGCCTTTTAATAATGATAGACTTTTTATTTCAATATTAATAGACTTTTTACCCATCTTTTTAAATAAATACTACAAGATCCTGTCTACTATTAAGATAGATCATCTTATAATTTAAGATAAGGTTTATATATAAAACTCTTTAAAAATTCTACTATAAAAGGAAATTTTATATTACATTATTATGATTTTTTTTCTTTTAGTTAATTAACCAATAGAATTTAAACAAATCCTAAGGTAAAGTTCATATGAAAGTAGTGTTCCGCATAAATCAAATTTCTCTTCTGAAATTTAATTTGATTCGGACTCAATTCAGACTCAATTCAACCTCCAAAAATTATTATCTCAGGATCTAGTAATCCAATTTCTATGATTTTTTTTAATCGATAGGTCTCGTTGCCCTGATCAAAATAAAAAGGATTGTTGAAATCGGACCGCTAGATCAAAAGTTATTTGCAAAATACGTTTTTATTATTCAGGAGCAATCAGGGTCACACCATGTCACAAATTGATTCGTGCAGAACACTATATGAAAGTGAAATTTTTACTGTATCTTAGTAGTAGGCAAGATCCTAATATTACTCATGAAATTTTAACTAGGAATCACAGGATAAATAGTAAATATTACCTGAAAATTTAATATATAATATAATAATAATACAAATTTCTGATTAATATATATACATAAATTTATTTTTCTAGTTTTTGTTATATAAAAATTAAAAGAAAATTAATTTTAAAATAATAATATTGTATTTCCATATTTTCTTAAAACTTTTATATAGTAAATATATTATTTTCTGAAGATTATAATTTTAGAAAATAAATATAAATTTTATATTTTTATTTTTAATTATTTTTTTTTTTTAATTTAATAATCAACTTTTTTTTTTATTAATACAATTATATAAAAGTTAGTAATATGAAAATTATGTAGAAAAAACATGTTAAGTATATATGAAATCAAAATTAAAAGTCAAAAATTAAAATATTTTAGTTTTAAAGATTTAAAATTGAAATTAAAGCCAAAATTGGCTAAAATTACATCATATAATATAATTATAAAATAGTAAAAACTTTAAATCACAATAATTTTAATAATAAAAATATATATCATTTAAATCCTTTTAATAAGACAAATCAAATAGTATAAAGTTCATTGAAATCTAATTATTAGATATTAAAATCATTAAGTATAATACTTTTAATATGTAAGTAAAAATAAAATGATCAATATTAATATTATTAATACAATCTTACTACCATTCAATTTATCTTGACTAAAGCTTTTTTAAAAGCATTATAGATCTACTTTTTATTATTAAATTTAAATAATTGTAAATAATTATTTAATATTTAATTTGATTATTTTGACTTTTGAGTCTAAAGTTAAATTAATTTTGACTATTTTAACCATTAAAAATTGAAATCTAATTTCAGTTTTATATATAATGTTAAGCCTAGTAAATAGTTTTTGTATAAATTTATACTAAATGGACTTATTAGCTCAAAATTAGCTCAAAGTTATGTAAAAAATAATCCAAATTTAAGCCAATCTAGAGCCAATTATATATGGATGAGCCCATTTAATACAAATTTATACAAAAACTATTTATTAGGAAGTAACAACTAACAAATAAGTTTATATTTAAAATAATTATATAGATAGTTTTTCAGAAATTATATATATATATATCTAAATAAAAAAGGCTAGCAGATATGAAAAAACAATTAGAAGTATAAGTGAAAAAGTTAAAAATTTATATGCAATATATATATTATTAAATTTTTATTTAAAACTTTTTTTATGAATATATGTATTATTCAGCAAAACTTTAAAGTTTTATATTTTTTAAAATTTATTAATTAATAAAAATAAGAGAATTATTACTTTTATTTAATTAGTATAAAAATTATTAAATTTCTTTTTTTAATTAATATAGTTAGGGAGCTTACAGATATTACGTAATTATCAAAGGGGGAGGGGGTAATCAAAATCTTACGTTACACTTAATAAAATATATAATTTATAAATATTTAATTTGATTGGTTATTAAATCTGGCAAAAGGGGGCTAGGGGGGGGAGTAAATTTATATTAAACTGAATATTACGTAATATATGTAACTCCCCTTATATGAATATTAAAAATGTAAAATTTTAATATTTAATCTGATTTATAATTTGATTTGATTTAATTTATTCAATTTAAATTAATCTAAATTTGATTTAAATAATTTGAAGTTAATTTAAATTAAATTTGATTTGATTTAATTGATTTGATTTGATTGATTTAATTATTAGATTTGATTCAAATGAATTAAATCACTTTAAATAGATTTAAATTTAAGATTCAGATTTGATTGTAAATCAAAAATTATCAAATAAAATCTGAATTGATTTAATTTGACTAAATTATATATAAAATACTACTCAAATATCAGTCAGCTTTATTAAAAATAATTTTATATAAAATATTTTTATTATAGTATTTATTTAGTAAATACAGATATAATATATTATATTATATCTGTAATACATTGTAATAATTGTACACTTTTTTTGTTACTATATTACATTTTTTTATCCTCTTTATCTTTTCATTTTTTATATATATTTTAGAAACTTAAAATTTTTTTAGTTGTAAAATTTTATTTTTTATATTCTAATTAAATGTTATATATTTTAATTTTATCTAGTATTGTATAATTTTACTTAAAATACTTAGGATGCAAATACAATAAAAAATAAAATTTATCAAAAAAATATAAATATTAGTAAAAATAAGTTAAATTTCTAATAATATATAATAATTAATATTATAAATTAATATTTATATTTAAATAAGTAATATTTAGTTATTACTATAATATTTAATAAATAATAATAATATTGTAAAATATAATTTTAATTTCAAATTAATTATAGATTATATTTAGGTAATTTTAAATTTAGTTGCATTCCCATACAATAAATTTAGAATTACTTTATTTTTAATTATATTAATAGGTTTATTTTTATTTATATAATTTATTTTTTTTAAAAAAAATTTATATTATAATTTTTTAAATAAGTATAAAAAATTATCATATTTGTATTTATAAATCATGTAAAATAAAGTTTTTTTTTAATAGTAAAATTTTAACTTTTTAACTAAAATAATTACAGTAAAATGAATATAAAATTCTAATAGTTTAGCTAACAGTAAAATTATATTCAAATTTTATAAATATTAAGTTAGTAGTTATCAAGAAATTGATAATTAAGAATTAATAATTTATATATAAAACCTAACAAAATAATAATTTTCATATATAAATTATCGATCTTTAATTGTTAATTTTTCAATAACTACTGATTTGATTTTTACAAAATTTGAAATATAATTTTACTTTTACTTAGTTATTTAAATTTTGTACTATTTTTGTTGTAATTACTCTAATTAAAAAATTAAAAGTTTATTATTTAGAAAAAAACTTTGTATTATGTAATTTATTATAAATATCAATATGATAATTTTTAAGAAATTATAATGTAAAGAATTTTTTTAAAAAAAAACTTATATAAATAAGAAATTTTATTTAATAGAATTAAAAATAGAGTAATCCTAAACTTTTGGTATAGAAGTATATATAAGTATAAAAAATAATTTTATTTAATTAAAATATAAAAAATAAAATTTTAATAAATTGCTAAAGCTTATTAGTAATAATTACTATATTAGCATTATAATATACTCTTAACCAGAATTAAAAATCTAATAAAATACTGGCCAACATTACATCATAATTTCACCATTGGTAATCATTATTGCCAGTGATATTTAGCAATATTCAATATTTTATATTAAAATTTTTTTAAATTAAATCTTTAAACTGTATTACAAATATTTGTATTAAATATTTTTTAATAATACTTTATTAAATTTTTTGCTAAAAATTTTTATAAAAAATTGTTAAAATTAAAATTATTAGTAATAGTTAAAATTCAAATTTCATTAGTAATAAAGTTTAAATAAATTATATTTTTAATATTAATATATTTAATTTTTTTTTAAATTTTATATTTTATTCAAAAATTTTTAACATATTTATTATTAAAAAAATAAAATTCAAAATAAAAGTATAAATCAGGTAATTTATATAATAAATTTCAACAAATAAATGCATACATATATTTATGAATTTTAATTTGATCTTAGTAAAATCAATTCTAATTTTAAATTTAACATTTACAATATTATAAATTTTATAGTAATAGATAGATTAAATAAATGTAAATTTGAAACAATTTTCTAAAAAATAATTTTTGATATTAATACTAGATAATAAAAAATAGTAAATATACATATATTTCTATAAACAAATTTTCAAGGAGTCACATGATAAAATTATAGCGAAAGGTTGAAAATTTTATATTATTTTATCATTTCGCGGGTTTATTAAATAATTTATAGACCGATCCCTAAGAACAGGTATCGTTGAATAAATAGTTTAATGAGATGACCAAGAAATAAATTTTATGAACTAAAGGAAAATTTACTATATATTAAGAACACTTAATTTCATTTATCCGAAATATTACTATTTTTAATCATTATTATACGAATTGTTATCATACATTATTACTCCATTATAAATCTTCTTTTTTTACAACTTTAAAAACTTCAAAAGTATCTATAGTATATATCTCGTCTATGTATATACTTTTTCCTCGCCTAAAATCATAGGAATTATTTCTACTACCTAGATGCATATTTAAAGCAAGATGCTTGTCAACCCATCGAAATTTTATATAACCATTTATATCATAAGAATAAAATGTAAATCCATCTCCACCAATTCCATTTTCATTATTTTCTTCAGACCAACTTATATTTCTATAACCTCCAAAGATTAATGGTACTGAATCATCTTTTATTTTAATGACAGTTAAAGTTGGGCCTTGATTATAGACATATTTACACCATCCTGTTTCAGTTAATTTAGTTCCTAGACATCGATATAAAATATGAAAATCGTATGGAATTTCTTCATAATTTATTTTTATATTCGTTTTTTCATATTTATTATACCAATCATTTCTCTTATCTTTCGGCAAATCAATCCAAGATGAAATTGGTTTTAAACATGATTCGTTAAGAAGAACTGAATTAAGTCTTAAAGGTAAAACTTCATATGTCGGTTCAAAATCTATAGATTTTTCATGATACTTGATGATTTCATCATATAAATCTTCTTCAAAAATTTGTTTAAAAGGTCCAACTTTTTCAATAAAACGTTTAGGTTCCATTTTGAAGAATCTAATTAATAGTAAGAATTCATCAATATTCGCTTTTAAAGCATCAACTTGTTCTATAGTCCAATCTGCTATATTATTCATGTTAAGTGATATACATTCCGGTGTATTATGTATAGCCCAATTAAGAACTCGATTCCAAATAGTAATTTCATTTAATCCTAAGACATTACGCTCCAGTAAACTAATCAAGTAATTACGTGGAATTGATAAGAATTCTTCGGAATAAAACAAATTTTTGGGTTGAAGTAACAATTTTTTCTCGCAGATCTTTAAGAGTTCTTTACAACCCAAAATTTGTACGACTGTAAGAAGCACTTCGCTCGTATATTTATTAACATAATCTATTTCACGGCAAATTAAATCTTCTTCTAGAAAATTAATAAGGTGATCTAACATCAAAACATCCGCTGCTATCATTAATTGAAGTTTTTCGGTAACTTCTAAATCATAAGCTAAAACATAGCCTCCGTAGATATAGCTTTTTTTTTTTTTAAAAAAAAACTTCGAATTAGTATTAATATTAACAATGAATATATTGTTACATCATTAACTTACAATAACACTTCGTAAAAAATATCATATGAAATGTTCATGTTATATAATTTTATAACATAAAATCCATCAGAATTCTTTCTTGACCATGTAGTTGATAACGCAGCTTTAAAATAATCCGATCGAGCACGTAATATTAAAGAATGAGCTTTAAATGTTTCGAAATCATTTTCTTCTCCAACTTTGATTATGACATCACAAGAATATGTTTCACTCAATAATACTGTAAGATCATTTGCTAATTTATACCATGATTTTACCATCGCACTTGCGTTTTCCATAATAAAAATATATATATGTATAACGAAAAAAAAGGTTAAATGAAGGAAAGAAAAAAAGAAACAGAGGGGAGGCAATTTAATAAAATTGGTGCATTCTTTTAAAACGTATGATTCCAAAAAAAGCAACTCATCATATGCATAGAATATGATTGAACATCAACAAATTTTAGGATTTGTATTTCTATTCTAATAGATCTTGTTCAATGATCAATTCTTATACAATATTAGCAGTTACTATTAACACAACATTTACTATTAGAAGATTTTGTATGCTGATGAAAATACTCTGATTTGAAAATTATGTACGTTCATTTTCTATTATTACGCGAAGATATTGTATTGTTTAATCATGTGTGTAGTATCCTCGACTTCTTGTTGAATATTAACGTTTAAAGAAGTCCCCATGGTGTAAGATTGTGGCACTAACAGAACAAATCAGTTCAAGTTATAAAACCATCTGACAGAATGGATCTTAAAAATCTTGATCTCTTATAAAATATAACAAGTGAACAACTCTACCACGTAGCGTACGCGAAATTTCAAAGATTTATATACAGTATTTTAACATCCTACTATTCAGATAAAGCAAGATTATACTTAATTAAAAGCTCTATTTGGGTAGAATCTCTAATAACAGTTGTATAAAACGTATTCCTGAAGTTAGTTTTCTTATTTTCGTAGACACAAAAAAGAATTCTTTACATTATTAACAAAAATAATACATAACATTTATGAAAAAATAATTATTTTATAATAAAATACTGTAAAAAAATATTGAGACCAACTTTTTGTTTTTTGCTTAAAATATTAAAACAAGTTATTTTCATTAAATATTCATAAAAAAATAAAAATATTTCTTTTTCGTTTATCACATCAATTATCGCGTTTCGTCAAGAAAGTAAGTCGTACAGGTCAAATTTTACCTAAATTCCAAGATCCTTACACGTCAAAAACAGGAAAAGGATAATCATGTAACGCAATCGAAATTGAGAGTTCGCCTCTTTTTTTTTCAAATCAGTTGCATTTTTCATCACTCATTCTGTAAATTCAGAATTATTTTTACAATTCCTCCGAGCATATAGTGCACTACTAATTCATCTTCATAAAATATTGATTTTTTTTTTAAACATGGCCTACAATTCTTTTTCGAGTTTCACATCTATGGGCTTGTTTTATCTGGTAAGTTGTAACATGTACATTTATTAATTTAAACTAAAATTGATTTTTAAACAATTCAAATTATGGATTCTCATGATGAGAAAATTGAAGGAATAACAAAGGGTTTATTGAAATTTGTTTAAAATCCTTAGTTGTAGCCGGAGAAACTGTGCCTTTGTTCGATGAAGCGTTATCGATCGTGGAAAACATTTACGAAGATGCGCAGTATAATAGGAAAAGTTGTATAACTTGTAGAAAATGCTAAAAGAAAATGAAGAAAAATTTCGTGAAGAAGATTATTTTTTGTCTTTTACGAAATTATAGATACTTAAAGGAGAATTAAATCTTTTGTTAAAGAAGTTAGTTCTCTCTAAATTCATAATTTTGTTCAAGCCAAGGAAATTAAAGAGATTGAAGTTTTTGATTCTGATGTCAGTTTATTAAAGCTCGCAATGATTATTTCTAATGAGAAACAAAGGAAAAAGAAACTGAGATTTTGGAGCATGGCAAGGAGAACCTCTAGATCGACTTGAAATTAAAAATTTGGTTAATACTTTGGATGAATTATCTCAAGCAAAGAGTATTCTGATTTACGCGAAATTCGAGAGAATGAAAGTTCTTATGGTATAGAAGATGATTTGATGCCAGAGATATCCAATTATACTATCGATACACTTCCATATGAGCCATTACTTTCACTTAAAGAAGGTTACAAAACTCATAAAAAAGGCGATCATCAAAAGGCGTGGAAATGTTATGTTAGGCATACTAATAATGAAAATTTTCATGCAAATATTGGCAGGGATACTATTTATTTGAGTGTATTAATGGTGAAATTGATAAAGAAAAAGGTATAAACCTATTGAAAGAATCAGCTGATGCAGGTATAAAAGATGCACAATTTCGATATGCATTTGTTTTAAGAGAAAAAGAATCCTTTGATAGTAAAAATGAATTTGTAAAATATCCTACACTAGCAGTGGTTTGGATAATTCATGATATAATTTAGGAGATTATATATTTTATATATTAATGGAAAACTTGACATTGAAAAAGATGTTGAATAGGGGTTACGATACTTAAGATTAGCTGCATACAATAAACATCATGATGCGATTGAAATGTTAAGACTAATTAGCTAGGGACAATAAAACTTGTGATTATTATCTTAAATTATTATGATAAATTTTAAATTTGAGAAATAAAATTGTGAAATAAAATAAAGGTATCTATTGATTTTACTTATTATTGTAGTTTTAAATTTCATCTATAATACAGCTTAAAATAATATAAAGCCAAGATTTTGTTTGCTTTATTAACAAAATTATAAATAATAATAGCGTAAGGTATGGTATACACACGTTTCTGATTTTGCATGAAATGGTCGCTAAATTATTTAATAGAATCCCAAAAAATATACAAATAACTCAGATTTAAACTTAAAATTTTACTATAACATATATTTATACTATTAATTTTATTCATTTTCTCAATTTCACAATAATATCGGTTCTCTCAGTGTATTATTCAATAATGTCCAAATACTGTATGTTCATTGCACATTTCTGTTAATCTAACCAAAACATAATTATATAAAGGTGCGTTAATCTTATTCAAAATCAATAATCTGTACAATTAATTTACTAATCAATATTTTTAATTTTTTAATGGGTTTGTTCTTCAGTAAAATCTATTTTCATTTTTTCTAACAATTTAACCGCATTTGGATGATCTTGCAAAACGGATAATCTTAAATAGTAAAGTCCTTTTTTCTCATCTTTTGGTATGTTTAATTTTCCTTTTATATAAGCGTCCCCCAAATTAAATTGAGCGGTACTATTTCCACCGTCAGCTGCCAACGTTAAATATTTAATAAATTCTTCACGTTCCTTTTTCTTACCTAAGCTCTCTTGAAGTGTGAATGCATAACGAAGTTGTGCGTCATGAATACCTTTATCAGCTGCTTCTTTAAATAATCTAGCAGCCTCTTCCTGATTTTTTTCAACAGATCTCCCTTCCCATAAATAATAACCCATCCAATGTTTCGCGTATGCGCTTCCATTTAATGCATGATATTCAAAGCATTTCCAAGCTTTTTCATAATCACGGTTTTTATGTGCTTTTATACCTTCTTCAAGTGTTATCATTGTATCTATTTCAAAATCAAGCGTGAAATTTTCGCATTCAGGTAGTTCCATTCCTTCCCCTTCAGCATCTGCATCGCTAAATATAGGAGTACCTGTACCATCTAAGTCCAAAGTCTTTTGTGGAAGTAAACCTAACTCTTGTTCCACCACATTTTTATATTTGGTTTGTAATCGTTCAAGTGTGTTAAATAGGTTTAGAAGCGAAATTCTATCTTGAGGCTTTTGTTTCCACGCTTTTATAGTTAAAAAAAGAAAAATAAAAACGAAAATAGTCACATAAACCTGAATTAATCCAGAAAAACGTACCGATTTTATACATACCTTCTCTTATAACATATTCTAAACACTTTTGAATATCTGAATCTCGTTTATTAGCGGCGAGTCCAAATTTAATTTTTTCTCTCTTGCCTTGAAGAACATGTGCACTTAATTTATCCATGTCCCATCCTTGATATGGAACTTTTCCAAACGTTAACTCCCAAAGTAGCATTCCAAAGCTGTAATAAGATTAATAAATTAGTTAAACAGTTTAAAATAATTATTTATTAATGCAAATAAATTACCTAAAAATTTCACATTTAGCAGTATACCGAGGGTTTTTATCGGTCATTTTTTCAGGAGCTAACCAATGAAATCTTCTCGTCATGTTGATAATAGATGCTCTGCGTGTATATTCAAAGTTTGCAAGTTTCGGTGCTAAATGATCCGTCAACATAACATTCTCGCATTGTAAATCATGATGATAAATTTCTGCAGAGTGTAAGAACTGTCTCTTATACACATCTAGATGTGTATAAGAGACAGTCTGCAGAGTGTAAGAAAGTGATTGCCCGACATATATCAGTTGCAATATGTAATTTTCTAGTCCAAGGAATATCATACGCTTCGTAAGTCTCTCTCAAAGTCCCATATTGTGCCCATTCCACTACTAAATGATTTAAACCATCTAAATTCGCCAATCCATAAAATTTAAGTATATTCGTACATTCAGACAATTTAGATAAAATGACAAGCTGTTTGTTCTTTCGGTCTTCTTGATCCATTTCATTTAATTCAAAAGGTATACAGGCAACATTTATAGAAGTTTTATAACTTTTTCTTACAATATTTTTATCAGAACCACGATAATCGGAATCATCTGCAATCATAGGGTCCGTTAAATCGCTTTGAGCTATCTGTTTAGGCTTTGTCACTGGTCCCTTTCCACTTTCTAAGCTTCATCATCTGATTGGTATTTATGAAACCATCATCAATGTTTTGAAGAAACTGCGAAATATAAAAAAAAATATTCGAACTTAGCAAATTTTTAAACAAGACAATATAAATATTTTTAAAAAACTTACTTCTTTCATTTCAGCAACATCATCCATTAAACATTCATTATCATATCGTCTCTGTTCTTCGTTTGAGAAAGTTAAAATAAAATTCAAATCTTTCATAACAGTGTCATATTTTACTGAAAGTTCTTCGAATTTATCTTTAAAAGAATAACTTTTAAGATACTTTTGATAACCACGAATTGTAGATATTTCTTTGGCAAAGTTTTTAATATCCTTTAAAACGTCCACGAAACGATTAAATGCGTCGTACCAATCTTGACGTTTAAAATTACTTTCATAAAATTTTTTGCGTCGTTGCAAAGTATCAACGGCATATTCTGCTAATTTTGTTCTATCATATAAAGCACTAATTATCTTTTTATTATATTCAGTTTGTTGTTAGATAGATATAACTTCATTAATAATTGTTGTCACCGCACCTATCAAAGGAATAAAAGGTATAATTGGATCTTTTTCATCAATAACAATTGAAGATTCATTATGTTTATCCATTTTTATTTTATAAACGAATTCCAAAAATTTTAAACAATTTTTCGGGTAAATTGTGTAACAATGGCGCCATCAATAATATTTTTTTTTTATGGAGAAATTTGTTCACTCTTATACGAGTATTTTACGGAGCAAAGTGACCTTTTTTTAAAAAAATAGAAATTTTAAAATTCTAAGTGATGAAATACTTCATATATCCAGATTAATAAGAAAATATGTAGTATGTTACTAGATAGAATCCACAGAATTGGTTTTCAAATAGGAATTAATTTTGAAAATTTAATATTGGGATTAAAAACAAGTTCTAACAGAATGCAATAAAATTTCAATATATTGATTCTATATCATATAATGAATTTGAAAATCGAGAAAAAATTGGGTCGGGAAGGTTTGGTCAGATTTATAAAGCAAGTTGGAAAAAGACTAAATAGACCTGTGGCTTATAAAATTTGATTAATCAATGGATATTTTGCAAGATGATAAATATTGGAAACATGAACTGAATATACAATCACGTGGAAGTAAAAGTCAAAATATTATTAAATTTCAGGAATTAGTTATGGTAAGTACTTTTTTTATTTTTATTTGTATTTTTTTTCGTAAATTAATAAAATTATTTTGTTATAATATAGGTATGCAAGATGAACGTTCCTAATGGAATATGCATCTAATTGTGATTTAAGAACGTACCTTAAATCGAAGAACAGCATTTAACAATGGAACGAAAAATCAAGCTAGTATTTGATGTAACTAGAAGACTAAATTATTACATAATATCGATATTATTCATTGTGATTTAGTAAGTATTTTATGAATGGTTTATATTTTTTTGTTATTTATATTTACTAAAATTATTTTTATTTAAGCATGCAAAATATTAATATAGTATGAAGGAAATGCCAAAATTACAGATTTTAAGATTTGTTGATGAATAAACAAAATCATATAATAGCATTATAGGAATTCTACCATATATAGCACCTGAAATATTGAGTACTAATCTAGATAAGCCATATCCTTATAGTAAAGCAAGTGATATAGTCTTTGGCGTGTTGTTTTGGGAAATAGTTAGTTGTAAAATACCTTTTGAATGTTGTCAGCATGATAATGCTTTGATAACGCAATTTATTAAAGGAAGGAAGTCCTCAGAAAAGGAATAATTTACTAAGAATTAGAGTATATTTATAATAATTTGAATACAAATAATTATATTATTGATGGTAAGAGTCTCTTCAGGATTATATTTTATTTTATTATAATATTGAAAAAAATTTGATTTTTCTTCTTCTTTATTAGATCCATTAGATTTTAGCGTCGAAGATAACAGCTATAGTAGTTCTGGTAAGTTTTTTTACATTGTTATATTATCGTAGGTTATTTTTCTTATATTAATATTTTTCTTTTATTTATAATAGAAATGATGAATGGTTCTTTGAAGTTGAATTTATATAATTAGGCAACCATACGATTGTCATTTTAAATTTACTTTTATAAATATTTAGCTATATCTTTAATATCTTTCATATATTGTGTACTTAAAAGCACGCAAACAAATATAATGTCACGGCAACATGCCAATCAGGGTCATCAATAAAAGATGAAATTTTAGTCGCTAATACTTTTAATATATAACTAAATAATTTAATCTTCTTCACTTGCCTGACTTTTTCTTGATAGAATTTATAATGCCAATGTTCCTAGTCTGCTTGATAGTGATGAAGAATCTGATTCTCATGAAGAAGATTTTATAATTAAACCTTTTCTCCTTCTTGAAGAAGGAATCAAAGCACATAACGAAGAGAAATATGACAATGCGTGGGAGTGTCTTGTAGCTCAGTCCGAAATTGAAAACCTAAAAGCAAAATATTGGAAGACTTATTGTTATCTTTATAATGGAATAAATGTATCAAAAAATTTAGATGAGGCAATTAAAATTATATAAAGAAGCGGCTGAATGGAGCATCAACAATATTTTAATAAGGAATATTATGAAAAATATATAAGAAACGCTGCTGACCGTAAGCATATAGATAGATACACAATTTCATTTAGCTGAACTATATATTCATGGTAAATTTGGAATTGAAAAAAATCCGGGAGAAGGGAATCATTTTAAAGCACGGGATTTGGTCATGGAACTTGAAATTAACGTATTTGATTAACTATTTAATAATTTTTCGTATTAATTAATATCAAGTGTTATTTATATATATATTTATTTTTTAAAAGGATAAATTTTATTTATGTAAAATAAATTACAGAAAACTTATTACTTCAATCAAAATCAGATCTTGAACGAAATAATTGATTTTAACTTATCTAACATAGTACAAGCTTCGGTCGACCTTTAATAGCTGTCAATTTAAATAACTCAAACCTTTCTCTTCGTTCTTTAAAATGTCCAATTTTCCATTAAAAAATAAATCACCCAAGTTTAATTGAGCAGCAGTATTTTCATTATCAGCTGCCATGGTTAAAAATTCTTCCAAGCACATATCTAATTTGGCATCAGAAACTTCCCTAGCAGCAATTTCTTTAAATAACTCGACTACTTTACCTAAAATTTTTCTTCATTTCCAATAATAATAATAACCTGACCGATATTCTGAAACATTATTTATTCGGCATGTTTTTTCGAAACATCTTAACCTTTTTTTCGGTCTCTCATCTTAATAAGCTGTTATTCCAGGTTTCATCATTCGCAAAATAAGTTATTGTTATTATTTCCATATCACTTCTTTTCAGATTTAGTCTTCTAGGTGAATGATCTGAAATTAACGGAGAACTCAAATTTTCGAGATCATTGAATAGATAAATTCTGGACGGGAATAGATGAATCTGATTGCCAAAGATGACAAATGTAAATTTAGCATTTAATTATTAAGTAATTCAGAAGAAATATTAAAAATATTGCAAAACTGATGAATTTTCTAATGCATTACCTTTTGGGCATTTTAATTCCTATTAATTGATGTGAATCAAACTTTATGTATGAATTTCCTGGGTACTTTCAATCAGCTGCTAAATATAACTGGTCTAGTAATTCCATAGTAAAGCTTTGTGCATGTTTGATTAATAAGCTATTCATTAAAATTTGAGAATTTATGGAGAACAAGAAAGACAATTGGTATATAGAAAATTAAATTGGTATAAATATTTTTATTATGATTATATATAATTGGATAAAATACAAAGTATTTAAAACGCCAAAATTTTAATTATTATATTGACAATACAACAAAATATTTGTCTTTAAAATAATATAATCCACTAATTTGGATCTAAAATCATTATATATGAAAAGTGACAATCAACAAATCATGTGGATTATGGTTGGAAAATTATCCATGTTACCGGTATGCATATGTCCACCGGTATGTATATGTCCATTCTTCTCTATCAATAACAAGGATATAGTAATCCAATTCCATAATTGATAAATTATTTTTTTATCGGAATTTACCGTAATCCCATTTATGGCAACTCAAGGAAAAATTCTCAGTTAGGATTCGTTTTCCGTTATTATGTCATATTATTATTATTATTTAAGTAATGATAATGCATCATCATTTGTGTTACAATTAAAGTTTTTAATATTATGATTTAACCATTATTTATAATTTAAGGTATTACACAAAGGAAATTCTTTCTTTCGAAAAAATAAGATTACCCGGTTTATACAAAAAAACGGTTTGAAAATCTTTTAAAAATGTTTAGTTAAGGAGGAATTCCGATGGTTTAGTCGGAATATGCATTTTAACCGAAGAAATATTAATTGACCGACAAAAAAAAACTTTGGTTACCCAATCGGAGTATTGTATGAGTTAATCTCGTGGAACCATTAAAATACTAAAATAGAAGGAATACAATCAGGATAAAATACTGATATGTTATGTTATTGAGGTAATTATTTACGTATAATTTTCGTCAAAAAAAAATTTTTTTTTGATTTTATAAATTAAAAAGGTATCTTTAACAAAGCGTAGAAAAAAGGTAAAAAATATAAAAAAAAATATGAGCTCAAGACATTATTGCCCAGAATGTGACCAACGTTTAGGAGATAATACGTGGTGGTGTAAATCCTGTCAACAAAGACATTTTAAAGAGAATTTTGATAATTGGACAACTGGTGATAAATATATTGATGATTTTATTAAACAAACTCAAGTGGAAGCTGAAGAATGTGATCAATACCTTGAATGGATTCCATTTTCAGCTTTTATTAATGTAAACAAATCAGAAATTTCTGAGGTTGGAACTTTATTTAGTGCAAATTGGATTAAAGGTCCTAGCGATACTTGGGATCCCGTAGAGGGTGAATATGTCTCTAAAAGAAGTTTACTTAAAGTTGCTCTGACTTCTCTTGGAAGTTCACCATCACTCTTTTTAAAAGAGGTGATTTTTAAATGTTTTTTTTTTTATTATAAATATATATTTTTTTTATGTAGCGTAATTTAATTAATTGATATTTGATTTAGCTTAAAATTCATTATTATTCGCGTTCGCGGAATGGTCTTATTATGCGTCTCTTCGGTGTAACAAGGGAATCAGTAACTAGTAATCTTATGATGGTAGCTGAAACTGTTGAATGGGACGTTCGTCATTATGTTTCACATCATCATACGCGTCTTACATGGCAAAATAAATTGGCTATCTTACATACAATCGCAAGTGCATTAGAAATAATTAAAAATGAAAATGGAGAAATTGCAACTCAAAATAGTAATATAAAAAAATCTTATGTTGAAGTTTCTGTTAATGAATTAGGATTAGGAGATGGGAAAGAATTAATTCCAGTTATTGGACATTATAGATATGATCTTTTACCATTTTTTGCACCTGAAATTATTAGTGGAGAAGATTATAATCCTAAAGTTGATATATATACATTTGGAATGCTTATGTGGGAATTTTCTTCAAATAGACCTCCTTTTTATGATCAACCTCATGATGCAAAACTTATTAATAATATTTGTAATGGATTAAGACCGAGATTTCGTGACGATACCCCTGAATGTTATGGTGAATTAATGAAGAAATGTTGGAGTCCTTATGCTCAAGATAGGCCAATTATTTCTGAGATTGTAAAAATATTAAGTGAATGGCACATTGATGGAAAAAACAAGGAAGATTTTTCTAACGCTGAATCAAAGAGAATTAAAAGAGTTTTAGCCAAAGGTTTAAATCCTAATCCCGCTGGAAGAATGGTTGCCCCTCCAAAAATTCATCCTCAAGCTATTTATACTAGTAGATTATTAAAATTTCCTGCTTTACCTATTCCTAGAAATTCTCCAATACCAACACCAAGACGTTCTCAATCTCATAGTGAACATGATTATGGTCGTACGCAAATGAGCAGTCAAGATTTAGCTGCAATTCTTATTCGAGATGAAAGTTTTTTTTCAACTGCACTTCTTATGCAAAGACGTTCAGTTTTTCCTGAAGAAGAACCGGAACCAGAAGATGAAGATATACTGAAACAGTACGAATTTTCCATTCCGTATAATAGTAAGTTTCTTACTTCAATTTTTATAACTTTATTTTTTTTTAAAAAAAAAATACGTATATTTAAATTTATTTTATTTAAATAACCATATAGTTGAAGACATTAAATCAAATGACAGTACAAGTAGTGAAAAGTGTGAAAAGAATGAAAAGAATGAAAAGGGTGAAAAGGGTGAAAAGAATGAAAAGAATGAAAAGAATGTAAAAAGTTTGTCAATTTTAGCTGATGTTATTACCGAAGAACCTGAATCATCCGAAGAATTAATTAGAAGTCCTATTACAAATTGTGCAAGTCCAATCAACTTTAAATTTGATAAATAATTTAATTGTAGATTTTAATATCTTGTATATTGTTTTTTTTATAGACAATTTATAGTTTATGTAAAGATTTTTTTTTTTCAACACGTGTACTTTATTTTTACATATAATATACGCGTTGTTATACTACAAATTAAAATAGAAATAAAAGGGGGAAGAAAATTTTTGTTTTTTACATGAATAAGCTATTACAAATGATTAACAATTCAAAAAATTTTTTTTTTTTTTTTGTTTTTTTTGTTTTTTTTTTGCCAGAAACAGGAAAACAAATATTTATGTCCCACTTCTCCACAAAATAAATATAAATGGATACTTTTAATAAATATATATATACACATAAGAAATAAAGATGAACGAAAAAATTAAAAAGAAAAATAAGGAAATTTCATTTAAGGATTTTCTAGAAATACTTTTTCTCGTATATTGTATAGGGTCTAATGCGCTTCTATATAATATATATTCTTAAAAATAACAATGATAAAACTACATAAAACTATGATAAATGTTTAAATTTTATAATCTAACTCTAAAATAATACAACCCATAAAATAAAAATACACTTAAGACAAAATACACGTGAAGCGCTTTAAGCCCTCAACAAATACAAATAGGGTACAGTGGAAGGAAGAAAGAATCTAGAATTTTTATTTTTTTTTTTCTTTTTCCGTGCCGTAAGGGTAAGATTAAAATGAAAGTTAGAATAAATAAAAGTATTATCTCATTAATAACGTAAAGATGTCGTTTATAAGAGAGAGACTCCGTTAAATCCGTAAACATAACATTAATGTTATATAGTCCATTTAAACTGTGCTAGACCTTAATGGACCATATAACACCCGTTCCTAATCATGAAAAAGGTTAGAAAGAGATGACTACTCCAATTAGACAATTTCCAATTAGATAAAAAAAGAAAAATAAATCATGTAAAAAGGATACGAACCAAAAAGCTTCTCCTTCGATGACCACGCCTAATTAATTTAGTTAATTCACTAACTCTTCTTTTTGCAGTTTCGTGACCATTTTCAGCGGCTTTCGTATACCATTCGAGAGCTTTCTCTAAATCTTTAGGTGTACCTCGTCCATATTCGTAACAAACACCAACACGACATTGTGCTGTAGCATATCCTTTTTCTGCGGAAGATTTAAAGCATTCAAAAGCTTTATAAGGATCTGAAGAAGTCCCAAATCCGATATCGTAACACCATCCAACATTATTATGTGCTGAAATACAACCATTATTGGCAGCTCTTTGGAAACAAGTAAATGCTTTTTGTGCATCCTTAGAAGTTCCCATTCCTTTGTAATAACACCATCCAACATAAACTAAACCTCTCGGATCTCCTAAATCTGCTGCTTTATAATAATATTCGAAAGCCATTTGTGGATCTTTTTCTTTTCCGAAAGCATGTTCGCTCATAAACCCAATAATAAAATAATAATTAGCGGTTCTTAATTGATTTCTTGCAAAAATTTCAAACAAATTTTTGGGTCTAATTTGTTTCTCATGACATAAAACTTCCAATTTCCTTCTCATCACATCATCTGTGTATTTCTCCCAATTATCACATATGGTGATTACGTCATTAATTAGTGATAGATCATCACCTGAAATTTTGTTCTTTAAAAGACTATCTTCATTTTTTGGAGTTGTCGGTGAGCCAACTAAAGTCGTTTGTGATTTTTGATCCATCATTCCGGCTACACCAGAATCATGCTTATTATGTTTACCAACAACTCTAGAATTACCACTAATCTTTTCATAAATAAGGTTTATACTGTTGATAAAACTTTTACTATCTAATGAAGGAATTGTAGGAATTTCAGGACTTTTATCAATATTAGATGGAGAAGCTACAATTATTGATCTATCAAGAATCATTCCATTCCTATGATTATTATTCTTTGATGTATTTGCACTACTCTCAGAGTAGCTCGATTGTTTTGATGGTTTACGAGAGGGAACTGATGATCGAGAAGATCGATGTGATCGGTAAACATTTGATGAAGATGATTTACTTTCGTCATCAACAACTTCGTATGATGATGATTCTACTAAATTCCCACTATATGCATTAATTTCTTTTTCGCTTGGTTTATCACTTTCAATTGTAGTGGAAGTTGAAACTGTTACGCTGCCTGCAACGGAGTTTTCGGAGTTTTCGGAGTTTTCACAATATTCATCATCATCATCTAGTTCATCAATATCTAAATCATAGTGACGACTTATGTGACGTTCATCATCATCATCATCGAACATTGATTCTAATTCAAGCCGTGCGACTGCCAACTCAAGTCTCTCACATGGATTATATTTTATCAAATCAAATATAAGTTGACAATAATTTTGTGGAGTGCTTTCGGGAAGTTGATTTAACAATCGATGTATTGAATGGGAATTTCTTTTCTGTTCTTTAATATCTTCATCATCTACACCTTCATAAGGGTGCTCACCACTTTTTGCAACTATAAAAATTTAATTATTTAGTTAATATAAAATTTATTATTATTAAGAATAATTCGTAAAAGTTGGGAGAAGTATTTACCTGACCATAATATTAATCCAAATGAATAGACGTCGGAGAGTTTCGGATGACTAATATGTAGAAGAATAAATTACAAACTATCAAACTATTAAACTATTGAGAAAAAAAAAGATATTTTAAATATACGTACTTGTCAAAAAAATCTCTCATTTTAATATCTCTACAAACACGTTCAGGAGCCACATAGTTTATAGTACCACCGGCTTTTCCATTGTCCAATATCATTTGACTCTTTGTTTTTGAAATACCGAAATCGGCCAATTTTGGGACCAAATCTTGGTCTAATAATACATTTTCCGGTTTAAGATCGAAATGTAGAACGTTATTATCATGACAGTGCATAAGTCCACACGCTATATCCCTGCAAACTCTGGCTTTAAAAGTCCAATCCACTGTATTAGTTCTAAGATAACTTGATAAATTTCCGTTTGTAGCGTATTCCAACACCAATGAAAATGAATATCGATCGTCTCTTATGACTCCGTAAAATTTTAGTATATTATTATGATTTTGTAATTTAAAGTAATTACTATATTCTTTCAATAAAGTATTATTATCTACATGGTCTTGCTACAAAAAAAAAAAAAATAATAATAATAATAATATTTCTTTGAGTTTACTAAATGATTATCAAAAGAAACATTTTACTTTTATTTTTTATTTCTTTTTTAGTCCTACCTGACTCTTTTTTACTACGACAGTTTTTCCCTGATAGGTAGCCAAGTAAACCTCACCCATTGCCCCACGGCCAATAACAAGTGGGGGGCGACACATTGCTACCTTACTCTTGTTTATTAAAACTCTATTATTGGACGACATCTTTTATTAAATGTTTTATTTCTCTCTCTAATAACTTTCATATAAACAATAAAGAAATAAATAACGGAAAAAAAAAACTAAATAAAAAAAAAAATTAAATAGGGGAAACGAATATTACGAGAAAAATAAAAAAAAAACCGAAAACTACAAAAGTTGACGATTAAGTATGATAATATTCCATTTGATGTAATTATGACATCTTATAGTGGGAAAAGCTATAAAGCTGTCTCTTATACACATCTAGATGTGTATAAGAGACAGATCTTATAGTGGGAAAAGCTATAAAGTAGGGAAACATCCCCTTACATTGTACAACAATATTTTATCTTTAAAAAGTAAAATAGGATTATGCGGATTTTTTCATGGTTCATTCATTAACAATCTTATGTACTTTGAGGTCATTGTTTGGTTTCACTAAGGTTCATTAAAAGAGAAAGAAAATTTTTTTTTTTTTTTTTTGTTTGGAAAGAATTTTTTTAATTTGGACCGATAATTTTACAGAAATACGCCAATTCTTCGAGATTCAATTTTACTTTTTAGTATCAATTAAAATTTTTTTTAAATTGTGAAACCATAAACATATTAATGATTTAAATTATAAATAAGATATAAAAGAATTATGAAGTCATTATTATTTTTTTTTTTTAAGAAAAAGATTGAAACTGGACGAATGTTTCGGATATTTTTTTTTATTTCGGAAATATTTATCAAAAATTCGTTATCTCACTTTATAATCATAAAAAAAAGGTTAAATTTTTTAGGTGTTACGTAGAAATTACTTTATGTTGACACTGTCAATGTATGATGAATTTCTCGTGCGATAAAATCTTGCATGAAACTTTTTTTTAACATTTCAAAATCTTTAATTACATGTAATTAATTAATATTTTTACAACGCGATGAAAAAAAATCATATTTCGCGATAAAAAATCTTATACGCGCCCGACTTATTTTTTACGCGAAAAAAATTCTCACGATCAAACATTCTTTTATAACAATAATAAAACAATGAACTTAAATGAGCTTAAGTTAATTTACTTTTTTTTCGCGTGTTTACATTGTTTTATTATTTTAATGCAAAAAATATTTTCTTCCATAATTGAGATAAAATGGTTTATAATAATAAAAGAGAACAATACGACTAACAAAGAGATTTTTAGCCACCGAACAAGTCTTCTAAGAAAATCTTCACACGATCAGCATTTTTCTTATCATAAAGATATTTTAGTTATTGATTTATATTGATTATACAAACTAATAATAATTACCCATTTAAAAAATTCCAGGGTTTTTTGGAAATGTGGCAAAAATCTTGACCATATTCGGTTTCAATTAAATTATATTGTTTTTTCATCTTAACAATAAAAATATTTATTTTATTATTTTATTTTCATTTTATTTTAATATTTTATTTTAATATTTTATTTTAATATTTTATATTTTATTATATTTTAATTTATTATATTTTAATTTTTTTTTTTCCATTATATTTCTTCCTAGAATTCAATCAAGGAGTGTATTTCGTGTAATTTTAAGATCTGGCATAAAATAAAAATTGTTATTCTTTTTGTTTCATGTTCTTTTTTTTTTCCCCCTTCTTTTTTCCTTTTTTCTTTTTATTTTTTTTTTATATTTTATATTATTTTTTTTATATTTTATATTTTATTTTTTATATTTTATTTTATTTTATTTTATTTTATTTTATTTTTATTTTTAATTTTAAATAATGAAATAATGAAATAACTTCTATTATTAGAAAGATGGCGTTATTATTTCCTATATATTATGTATATTTTATCGTTTTATATAAAATACCATTTGACTACCGTTTGGCGTAAAAAGTGTGGCAATGTAAAGAATTCGATTAATTCTAAAGCCATTTTACTTGCCACTAAGTATTTAATTATGGCGAATTTCGATGAATTAATAGTGATATAATTTTATTAATTTTTTAAAAATCCTCATTATATGCACGGATTTGGTATAAAAGACAAAACCATGAATAAATTAAAAAAGGAAATGATTAGTTGAGTACAATGATTATATTCAAAATTTCCTTTTTGGATCAATATATTAAAAAATTGTTAGTTTACCTTACTTTTCCTTTTTTGGATTCTTTTTGGAATTTTTAATTATTTTCTTGATTTTCATTGGTTGATATAAATAAATCACGTGTTTTGGTCGTTTTTCGAATTTTTCGTGATGCTTTTTAAAGTTATTTTTACACGAAAAAAAAAAATAAAAATAAAATTCTAACTGAAAAGTATGTTTTTTAAAAAAAGATTATGTTTATATTATTTTATCAATACGTAAAAATTTGCTACACATTGGCGTAAAACAGCCACAATAATAAATGTTTTTTTAGAAAAAAAAAATGGCTTATTTACTTTTAAAGTAAATATATATATGTTCAAGTAAATTCGTTGTGAGAGAAAAAATAATCATGAATTTTTAAGAGTTCAATTCTAAAAATTTTAGTGCATGAATTCCATGCCAAGAAATGGAAATTCTTTAAACTTTATTAGGATTAGGTTGGAACAATAAAATTAAAATTTTTGTTTAACGTTCCCCTTCCTTTCGTTCTCTTTGAACAATGTATATTTGGACTAGAATAAAAAAATGATCCAAAATTATGTGATAATTCCGGCAAATGATATGATGATAAACTATGTTGACCAGAATTAAGAATTTCAAATTTTTGTAACCCCGTGTAGATGTTTGTAGATGTTATCAAAATATTGATCTAACATATGTTAATTTAGATAAATTGTTAGTTTAAGAGATGATAGAGATAATGTTAGATTTACTGATATTACTGATATTGCTAATATTAATGATATTGCTAATATTACTGATATTGCTATTGCTAATGTTAGTGATATTACTGATATTGCTGATATTTACTGTTCTCAGTACCGTTCTGAACGTTCTGGTCTTCTGGACCGAGGTCGATTGAATTGCAAAAATGTAAAAAATGTACAATTTTTAAAAAAAATATATTTATAATATATTAATTATTATTTAAATTATTAATATTCAAAAATATATATATATATATATATTATATACATTTATTTTAACGAAAAGAATAAGTTAAAAAATCTATAAATAAAATGTATCGGTAACATTAAGATTTTTCAAAATTTCAATAGCTTTAGGTTGTTTTAAAACTGCAGCTACTTTTAAATATTTTATCCCAAGATTTTCATCTTTTTCTATACCAAATTTTCCATTCAAATAAACGTCACCTAAATTAAATAAAGCTAAAGCATTACCTTCATTCGCAGACATTTTCAAAAATTTTAAAAATCCTTTAATATTTATTTTTTCCTTATTAATAGCACTAAAAGCATATCTTAATTGAGCGTCTGCATGACCATTTTTTGCCGCTTCTTTATAACAATTTACAGCTCTTACATGATCCGCCGGAATATGATATCCTTCCCATAAATAATAACCTTGCCAATATATTGCTGATATGTTACCCAATTGCGCATTTGCTTCAAAACATTCCCAAGCCTTTTCTTTATCTCCTTTTTTATGTGCGTTAATTCCATCCGATAATGAAGATATTGGTACAATAGGATTATAAGCGGGATTTGAAGAGAAGGATGATGATGACGACGATGATGATGATGAAACGGAACTAGCGGGAGAATTATTTCCCTGAGATGAAGTACCATTTCTCAGTGGTACGTTACTAACTTGTTGATTATTTGTTTTAATAATAACATTTGAATTCGCACATAAAACGTCTCTTTTTGGAATTTTACTATTTTTACTAAGACTAGAACTCGCTCTTTTCTGTAATGAATTACTTTCTCCCATATAATAATTACTATATAAGGAGTATAACATATTAAAAAAAGTTATAATATCTGGCCTATCATCTGGTTCTTGTTGCCATGCTAATAATGATTGACAATTATTAATAATTATATTTTAATTTAAATGATTGATTAATTATAAATAACTTACCAGCTTCAATTAGATTTATAAAACCTTGTTGAATAGGGGAAGGTTCACCACCGAAATTAATCACCTCTCTCTTTCCGCTCAACACATGATTTTGTACCGTTGCAATTTGCCAATCTTTATAAGGTATTCTTTGAAATGTAAGTTCCCATAAAAGCATCCCAATACTAAAAATATAAAATACGAGTTAACGAATGAAAGAAGAATTTACTCCAATTAAAAAAGATAATAATTACCTGTATATTTGAGATTTACTTGTATACCTTTTTGGATAATTTTGAATATCAATTATTTCAGGAGCAAGAATATATACATCTTTTAACCAATTTGAATAAGCATGACTAGTAGCATTACCGGATGCATTTTTATTATTAAAATCAAATTTTATGTTGGTAATTTTTGGTTTCATATCATCAGTCATTAAAATATTTTCACATTTAATACTTTTATGAAGAATATCACAACAATTTAAAAAAATGATTCCAGATAATATATCTAAAGAAATTCTTAATTTTGTTGACCAATCAAGATCATATTTTTCATAAACTTCAGATAATTTTCCTAAATCAGTCCATTCATAAACGGAAAAAAAATTTTGATTTAATTGAGCCATTCCATAAAATTGATGAATATGTTTACATTCATGACCTAATTTCATTTTAATATAATCAAGAATTATATTTTTTTGATAATCAACTGTATTATAAGGAATTGAATCAGCAGGAATTAATGAAACTTGTTTGTTCTCTTTAATAAGAATTTTCTTTAAACATTTTCCCGTTAATTGACCTTCTAAAGGAGTAGGAGAATCTTGAAGATCATCGTTCGTTATTAATTTAGGTTTCCATTTATCATCAAAATTTGTAGATTGTTTTTGTACCTTTGATTTTAAAAGTAATAATTCTAAGATTGTAGTATTTATTTGATAATTTATTTGATTATTCTGTGTTATAACTGTCGCTATTCCGCTATCTATAGTTTCAAAGAACTAATTTAGAGGTGGGGGAAAGAAATCGAAAGAAATTGAAAGAAATTAATATTAGAATAATAATAATATTATATATAAATATAATACCGGCTGAAATATACCGGCCGAAATATATCGGCCGGAATATATCGGAATATATGCCAAAAAATTAATAATCATTCTCACTCACTTTCATTATATTATTAAATTCATCTCTAAAAATTTTTATATCTTCTTGTCGTTGTTTTTCATCATAAATTATTAAATTAGGAAAATTCAAATCTTTCGCAACATTATCAAAATCGATTAAAATTTCACGAAATTGTTTTTTAATACTATAAATTTCTATTAATTTTCTTATATTTGATAATAAAGTAATATCTTGTATAAATTTATCCATACGTTTTAATATATTATATAATCTTAAAAATGATTGATAAAATTTTTTATTTCGAAATTTTTCCAAATTATCGGATTTTTTCCTTTCAAGTTGTTTTATAGTTAATCCAATTGATTCGGAACGTATTATTAATGTTAAACATATTTTTTTATTAATTTGTGCATTTTCATATCCATTTATTATATCTTGAATAATTGTTATTATATTCTTGAATAATGGTAAATATGGTTTAACTGATTCTTTAATAGAATTTAAATTTTCAAGATATATTGAAGTTGCTTTAGGTTCAATATTTGTTGAATTTTCTTTAAAATATGTTATATAATTAGTTGTACATTCTGATACTTGTGAAATTGCTTCTAATGATTCATTGTTTTGTGACATTTTTTTTTTTTTTCTTTTTCTTAATAATAATAAAAAAATAAACGAGTTTTAAAAAAAAAATTTAAGGAGTATACTAAGAAAAAAAATCTTGTATTTTTAAGGGAAAAAGATGAAACAAATTCCGACTACGGAAAAATGCTTAAAAAATTTAAACTTCATTAAGTATTGATATTCAATCTTTTGTTGTACTAGTATCCAAATTTTTCTTTATTCTTTTGTATCTAAAAATATATTTATTGGCTGTTTGAAGGTGCATCTATCAAAGAAAGAAAGATGCTTTTAATCGTAATTTGGCGTTTTTTTTTTTTTTTAAAAGAAAATAAAAAAATGTAAAAAAACGGATAATTATTTTTTTGTAATGTGAAATTTTGTCGATTTTTATATGGAATTTTATTTTTTGAGTAACTTTTTGAATTTTTTTTAGTAAGATATTATGATGATTATTTTGATTGTGACCTTTTTGATGCTTTGAATTATTACCTTTTCTGTATATTCATTTTTATAATAAAATCAATTTTTTTTTTTTAACTTAAAAAATACGATTTACCTAAGTTGTAGATCAGATGTTGTTGGTTCTGCTTAAAAGAAAAACGCCTTATACGATGAACAGCCCACAAAAAAAGATTAAATAAAAATGTAATATTATTAAAGAAATATGCAAATTTATGCATATCTAAAATTTCAATAAATATTATTTTTAATTAACCTCTTTTTTTTTAAAAAAAAAACCAATGATTTTTCAAGATTAAGTTTGACCAATAAAAATTGTTTATTAATTATTTGTTTGTCAACTGAAAATATAATTTTAAAAATTTTTTTATAAACAAACAATAATTTTTATTTTAAAAAAAAAATCGAAAAAAAATAATTTTTTTTAATTTAAATACTACAAATACTACAAATATTACTATAAATATTTTCATAATATTTTCCTTTTTAAAAACAAACTTTAATTATTATTGGTTTTTGTATATAAATTAAGGATCGTTTAAAATGGAAAAAAAAAATTTAGAATAGAAAACTTGTAAAATTGAGTTTAAATGTTCAATAGTCTTAGGCGCGTAGCATTCCGTAGCGCCGAATTGCCGAATTTACCGAATTTGTTAGAAATTTAATAATTATTTTCAACGTAAAATTGGATCACGTGATAATACAACACTCATTCCGTAATCCGATCATAATTTTATATTATTATTGTCTTTAATGCAAAAATATGGTTCTTGATATATTTGGGGTATGCATCTTGATATGCATAATATATTTTACAGTAAGGTCTATCAAGAAGTATACCTCTGACCTATCAAGATCAATAATTTTGCGTCTTTAATGGTATTAAATTTAAGGAATGATTTAAGAGAATATAGACATTCCATCAACTGACGGTCATCACAAATTCATTTCCTCATCACAAGAAATATACTGTATAATTGTAATTTGTTTCCTCGACAAAGATAACACGAATTTTATCAATTTCTCTGAATATTTAGATAATCGAAAAATGAAATTTCTCGTCGCCTTTTTAAATTTTGTTATGCAAAATCACAACAAAATCAAAAAGATATTATCAAATTAAATTTCTTTATTTATAATAAATAATAATTTTCCAATAATGTCATATAAAACTATCTTACAGGCCTTGTAGTTTTAATATAGTGGACATCTTCATTGTAAAGGGTAAACTTAAAAAAATCTTATTACTAAATACATCACATTAAACGAAGTAATTGATTTTTAACTTATCTAACATAGCACGAGCTTTTGGTTGACCCTTAATAGCTGCCAATTTTAAATAACTTAATCCTTTCTCTTCATCCTTTGAAATACCCAATTTTCCATTGAAATATAAATCACCTAGGTTAAATTGAGCTGCAGAATTTCCATTATTAGCCGCCATAGTTAAATATTTCACAAAATCTTCTAAATTAAATTTAAGTGGACTATTTTTATCTGATAAAGCAAACGCGTATCTTAATTGGGCATCAGGTTGTCCTTTATCAGCAGCTTCTCTAAATAACTCAACTGCTTTACCTAAATTTTTATCAACTACATAACCTTCCCAATAATAATAACCTAACCAATATTTTGCGACTTTGTTATTTATTTCGGCATGTTTTTCAAAACATTCAAAAGCTTTTTTTCTGTCTCCAATCTTATGAGCTAATATTCCATCTTCAAGTTTCATCATTGGCAAAATAATATCCATTTGGTCTAAATCGAAAACATCTGTATCTCCTGGTGGCAATTCAATAGGTGTTACTTCCATTTCACTTCTTTTCGGATTTAATCCTCTAGGTGAACGATCTGAAAGTAAAGGAGAACTCAAATTTTCGAGATCATTGAATAAATAATTTAATTCTGGACGAAGAGATGGATCCGATTGCCAGGCTAAGAATGCAAATTTAATATTTAATTATTAATTTCACTTATAGTAAATAATTTACTGAATTGTTATTTTAAAAAAGATAAACCATACCAGCTTTAATAATGTTGCCATATTCTTTCTCAACTCCAAATGAACTTAAAGGAAAATTTAAATGTTCTCTTTTACCATTTAATACATGTTTTTGAATTTCAGAAATTTCCATATCTTTGTATGGAAATCTTTGAAAAGCTAATTCCCAAAGTAACATTCCAAAACTAAGATATTAGAATACATATTAATTTAAAATATTTCAAATAAAAATAAGTCAGTTTTCATTGCTATATATTTACCTAAATATCTCACATTGTATGGTTTATGGAACATAATCATCATCTTTCCTATCTTTCTTACCTTCATCTTTTTTCGGTGCCTGTTGTGCTGCTGAAACAGCGGCTGCAATTTCTGTCTGTATTTTCTTTGAATTCATTTTCTCAGGTGCTAACCAACGAACGATTTGTGTAATATTCCCAATGTTGGTAGTATTTGCTTGTATAGCACGACTATACTTGAAATTCGAAATTTTTGGTTCCAGATTTTCGGTTATCAATATATTTTCACATCTAATGTTGAGAATTTACTTTAATTATCATTATTCAAATTCTCATGAATTCAAGTATAAAGTAAATATTTACCTAATATCATGATGTAAAATTTGACTACATCGAGTTTTCAGGTAATTGTGAGAAATATAATATAATATAGTTAGTAATCTAGATTCAGAATATCAATCAAATTGCATTTTTTTACTAACCATCCGTGAAGAAAAGTAATCCCACGACAAATGTTTAATGCAATTTTTAATTTTCGAGGCCATTCAATTTCATATCTCCCATATAGTTCTCTCAAATTTCCATTCTCTGCCCATCCAAAAACACCAAAAACGCTTCCATCCTTTTCACATAATCCATGAAAATTAATAATGTAATCACATTTCCCTAAATTACTCAAAATTGCCGATTCAGCATAAACCCTATTTAAAATTGGTGAAACTGTTTCTGATGATTTGTCAGCAGATTTATTTTGTTCCTCGGCAATAAGTTTACATGCCGCATCTTGTCCTCTATAAAGTTTTTTATGTATCTTATGCTTGTTACGTGATGATACAACTGGTTGACTACCACCAACAGGTTCTTTTAACTCATTTGGATCAATTTTATTGATAATAGGGTTGAAACCTTTTTCAAATGATTTGCTTATTGAAGTTGAGATGTGTTCGAGAACATTACTAATCTTTTTATCAATTGTTGTCACGCCACCTTCAATTTTTTCTAAAAATTTGGTCATTTCGTCAATATCTTCTTGTAACATAGCAATATCCGACTGTCTTTCGTCTTCATTAGCAATTACCATTGCCAGTCGTAAATCTGCTACAACACTATCAAAATCTGTAATTAATTGTTGAAATCTCTCTTTAACATGAACGCTTGAAATAAATTTTCTGTAACCAGATAAATGAGTTACATCTTGAATAAATCATTTAATTTCTCTCAGAATAGCAACAAATCTTTCAAAGTTATAATAATATGATTGATTGCGAAAATTTTTTTCATTTTCTTGTCTAGGCTGATTTAATGCTTGAACAGCTACTTCAGCTGCTTGTACTCTTTCAAGCAATGCCGCGCATGATTTCTTATTATATTGAGCACTTTCATATGCTTTTACGATTTGTTGTGTAAGTGAAGCTACTGCTGTTATCAAAGGAAGATAAGGTCCAACAGCCTCAGCAAATTTAGACGTGTCTACTATAGTATCTTTCGGATTTAGACCTCTATTTGAGTCTTCTGAAATGAAAGTAGAGATCTTCAAGAACATCGAATAAATAATTTAATTCTGGACGAAGAGACGGGTCTGATAGCCAAGCTAAAATGTAAATTTAGCATTTAATAAATAAATTCACTAAATTGTTATTTTTTAAAAAAATGAATCATACCAGCTTTAATAATGTTGCCATATTCTTCCTCAACTCCGTATGGACTTAAAGGAAAATTTAAATGTTCTCTTTTACCACTTAATATATGGTTTTGAATTTCAGAAATTTCCATATCTATATATGGAACTTTCTGGAAAGCCAATTCCCAAAGTAACATACCAAAACTAAGATAGCAGAACATTATATTAATTTAAAATATTTTCAAATAAAAATAAGTCAGTTTTCAATACTATTTACCTAAATATCTCACATTGTATAGTATGAGGAACATTTCCTTCTTCACCTTTTTTTGAATTCATTTTCTCAGGAGCTAACCAGCGAATGATTTGTGTAATTTGTCTGATGTCAGAAATGTTTGCCTGTAAGGCATAAGTATATTCGAAATTTGAAATTTTTGGTTCTAGATTCTCGGTTATTAATATGTTTTCGCACCTAACGTTAAGAATTTACTTTATTATTACTCTCAATTCTAATATATAAAATACAAATTTAAATATTTACCTAATATCACGATGTAAAATTTGACTACATCGAGTTTTCCAGGTGATTATGAAATACACAAATAATATAATTAATAATCTAGATTCAGGATTTCAATCAAATTTGCATAATTTACATTTTTTTACTAACCATCCATGAAGAAAAATAATCCCACGACAAATATTTATTGCAATTGTTAATTTTCGAGGCCATTCAATATCAAATTTCTCATATAGTTCTCTCAAATTTCCATTTTCCGCCCATCCAAATACACCTAAAACGCTTCCATCCTTCTCACATAATCCATGAAAATTAATAATGTAATCACATTTCTCTAAATTACTCAAAATTGCTAATTCAGCATGAACTCTACTTGAAATTGGTGGAACTGTTTCTGGTGATTTGTCTGATTTATCAGACTTATTTTGTTCTTCAGCAATAAGTTTACATGCCACATCTTGGCCTCTATAAAGTTTTTTATGTATTTCATGCTTATTACGTGATGATACAACTGGCTGACTACCACCAATAGGTTCTTTTAACTCATTTGAATCAATTCTATTAATAATGGGGTTGAAACCTTTTTCAGATGATTTGCCTTTTAGAGTTATAATGTATTCAAAAATATTGTTAATTTTTTTATCGCTTGTTGTTACGCCACCATTGATTTTGTCCAAAAATCTGGACATCTCATTAATATCTTTTTGTAAAGTATCGATATCTTTCTTTCTTTTCTCTTCATTAGCAATGAACATTATTAGTTGCAAGTCACTAACAATACTATCAAAATCTGTAATTAATTGTTGAAATCTTACTTTAATGTTGTCGTTTGAAATAAATTTTCTATAGCCAGATAAATGAGCTACATCTTGAATAAATCCTTTAATTTCTTCCAAAATAGCGGCAAATCTTTCAAAGGAAGAATAATATGCTTTTTTGCAAAAAATTTTTTCATTTCCTTGTTTACAATGATTTAATGCTGCTTCAGCTGCTTGTACTCTTTCAACCAGTACTGCGCATGATTTCTTATTATACTGAGCATTTTCAAATGCTTCTATAGTTTGTTTTATAAGTGAAGTTGCTGCTATTATTAAAGGAAGATAAGGTTCGACAGATTCTCCTAAATTAATTATAGTTTCTAAAGAAAATTTGGCAGAATATGCTTTATCATCAACTCGAACTATATTAGGTATAATACTTTGTGAACTTATGCTACCTATAGATACATCAATAAGACTTGATATATCATTTAATGCACAGTCATCAAAATTCGTCATTGACTCATATGATTTTGAAGCTAATTTATCCATTTCACAGTTGTCTATTTCTTCATTGTTATTATCCATGATTATATCATTGTTTTCGGGAGAAATTATTGATTTAAGAGTTAAAACTACTTTTTGTATATTTGGACGTTCATCTGGTTCACATTTCCAACATTCTATATAGATAGAATAAAATTGATTTTTTTTTAAATGCCTAAAAAAGCAATAATATAATTAATATTTACCTTTATATAAACTACTATACGCACTAGGGGTTCCATCAATAACGTTTTCTCTTCTTCCGTCAAGTATAGCCAAGGCTAAACTTACGTCATAATCTTCCCCATAAAACGGTCGATATCCACTTGAGATCTCCCACATAAGAACACCAATGCTATATATATCGGACTTTTTATTTAATGTATATTTATTACTCTTAATGTTGAAACTTTTTGGGTCTATATAAGGTATTACACCAAATACTTTTGAATTGCTTGTTGCTTCGGCAATTTTTTTTGATAAACCAAAGTCCGCCAATTTAATATTTTTTTTACGTATAAGTATATTATTTGAATGCTACAAATTAAATCAAATCAAATTAATTAATTAATTATAATAAATATGATAATATGTAAAGACTATTAATATTACCAGATCACGATGAATAATATCACATTCATGTATAAACTCTACAGCATTTGCAAGTTGTGATGCTAACTGATATTTGTCATCCCAATTAAGTTCATTAAAATGCTTTTTTAAATATGCCCTTAATGTACCACCATCAGCGTATTCCAAAACTAAAGAATATTTTATTGCTTGACAAGTTGAATCTAAAAAAATTTAAAAAATCATTTAATTTGTTAATTATGGTATTATTTTTATACAATAATTATCTTATATTACTTGACTCAAATTTAGTAATTCCATAAAATCGTAAAATATTTTCGTGAGAATCAACATTCTGTTGCATTTTTAACTGTGCCATAATAAATAATATAAGTTTTTAGTTTAATCAAAGTTATAAAATATAAAATATAATACCTCTTTAACAATTTCTTTAAGAGTTTGTTCATCATTAAAAGATTTCAAAGCAAAAGAAATATTTCTCCAATTAGCACGAAATACATCCCCGAATGAACCTCTTCCTATTGGTTTAATATCTTTGAAATCTGAAGCTTCATAATACCTGATACGTCCATCAGAAACTGACTTTTCTAACCATTCGTTGTCAATATTTGAAGTTTCTGTGATATCTGACATTTGGTTAATTCTATAATGCTAAATACTTCGATTAGTCATTAGATAACCTAAAAGAAAAAAGAATTGTCTACAAAAATGTCAAGAATATGAAAAATTTTATAGAATGCACATTGGAAATTTTTTTTAAAAATTGTGCACAACTATACAAAAATAATTTTCGTGTGCAGTGTGCACATTTAAATTTAAAAAATTGTGTTACCGGCCCTAAAAAAATGTGCACATTGCCCGGAGTGATCCATGTATTTGTGTAACCCGTTTATCTATCCCCCATGGTCAGTCGGGTGGCTCGGGTCTTTTTTATTCGGGCCAGTCTTTTAGGAAAAGTAACAATATTTATACCATTGAAATTTTGTAGCACAGTGGGATATACCAAGGACCGCAAAGTAGCAAAATTTGAGCTTGATCCTAGGATCATTACTGGTAAAAACCATAAAAGATCAGGAAAAATGGCATTTTATACCTTAGATGCTACATTGCTCTAAAACGGTTGATTTGATCAAGACCAAAATTTGTTATTTTATTAGTCCTCAATCTGTTCTATGACCATCTTTACCTAGATTATACAACCGAAACATTGCACCACAGCCAGTCAGCCAGAGATATTTAATGAAATATTATTTTTATATAATCAATTATGGCAAAAAAAAATTATCGAATTGAATTTAAAATTTTATTATAAATATATATATAGTATTGAATATAATACCTAAATAAATTAATTAATAACGATCAATATTATCATTTATTATCCAATTTATCACTTAATTTATTATAATATATAGTTATTAGTATGGAGTATTCAATATAAATGTACTGTAGATGTTTGTTAATGATTGCATTGGCATACAATTATACTACAGTGACACCTCTCTAAGTGCATCCCCTTAGGACCATAGTAAAAAAATAGTAAAATGTGCACTACTGCACTTATAGAGGTATTACTGTATAATATTAGGCGTTTATTTATCAACCTACAAAAAAAGTAGAAATAAGCAAAAACAACTAATATGTTAATCGGTTATTATTAAAATTTTTGTGATCCAACTCAATTCTGATTTAATTACATATTTAGATTAATAGATTTTGCGATCAAAAATCCGAACTGAACTAATCTATTGAAATTTTTTAGTATGATCATAATAAATTAATTAATTTGCTTATATGCATTATTTTATACCATTTATTGCTAGATATTATTTATTTCTGGAAATTCTGGCGATAAATAAATTAATTATTTTAAAATAGTATAACGTGTCAAATATAAACAAAATTATATTTTTTTAAAAAAATATCAAAAATTACGTAAGTAATAAAAACAAACTTTGGTTATTATTGGTTTTTGTATATAAATTAAGGATCGTTTAAAATGGAAAAAAATAGAATAGTATAAATAGTATAAAAAAAAAACTTGTAAAATTGAGTTCAAATGTTCCAAAAGTCTTAGGCGCGTAGCAATCTACTATAGTATTATTTTGCCGAATCCGAATTTACCGAATTTGTTAGAAATTAATAATTATTTTCAACGTAAAATTGAATCACGTGATAATACAACGTTCATTCCGTAGTAGTAATAATATTATTAGTCTTAAATGGCATTAAATTTAGAGGAATGATTTAAGAGAGTATAGACATTCCATCAACAATTTTTCCCTGACGGTCATCACAAATTCATTTCCTCATCACGAGAAATTTATAATACGAATTTTACCAAATTATCTGAATAATATCGTCACCCTCTTATACAAAAAAGGACATTATCAAAATATATTCATAAATAATCTTTTTATTTTTAATAAATAATAATTTTCCAATAATGTCATATAAAAATATCTTAGTACAGGCCTTGTAGTTTTAATATAGTATCTTCGTCGTAAAGGGAAAATTATCCATAAATGGACTTTCTTAAATTCATCACAATCAAAAGTCGAAATAACTAATTTCTAACTTATCTAACATATCACAAGCTTTTGAAAAACCCTTAATAGCTGCCAATTTTAAATAATTCAAACCTATTTCTTCATCTTTTAATATACCCAATTTTCCATTGAAATATAAATCACCCAAGTTAAATTGAGATACAACATTTCCATTATCAGCAGACATGGTTAAATATTTCACAAATTCTTCTAAATTAAATTTAAGTGGACTATTTTTATCTACTAAAGCAAACGCGTATCTTAATTGGGCATCAGGATTTCCTTTATCAGCAACTTCTTTAAATAATTCAGCTGCTTTACCTAAATTTTTATCAACGACATAACCTTCCCAATAATAAAAACCTAGCCAATATTTTGCGATTTTATTATCTATTTTAGCATGTTGTTCAAAACATTCAAAAGCTTTTTTTTGATCTCCCATCCTATGAGCTTTTATTCCATCTTCAAGTGGCAAAATTAAATCTATTTGATCTAAATCTAATTCTGTATCTCCTGGTGGCAATTCAATATGTGTTACTTCCATATCACTTCTTTTCGGACTTAGCCCTCTAGGTGAACAGTCTGAAATAAAAGGAGAGTTCAAATCTTCAAGACTATTGAATAAATAGCTTAATTCAGGACGAAGAGATGGGTCTGATAGCCAAGCTAAAATGTAAATTTAACATTTAAACATTTAATGTTATAAATAAATTCACTAAATTGTTATTTTTACAAAAGATAAAATCATACCAGCTCTAATTATGTTGCCATATTCTTTTTCAACTCCATATGAACTAGAAAGAAAATTTAAATGTTCTCTTTTATCACTTAATACATGTTTTTTAATTTCATCAATTTCCATATCTTCATATGGAAATCTTTGAAATGCTAATTCCCAAAGTAACATTCCAAAACTATATAATAGAACATTTATATCAATTTAGAATATCTTTGAATAAAAATAAGTCAAAGTCAATTTTCAATAAATATATTTACCTAAATATGTCACATTGTGTAGTATAACGATTCCAGTAATCCATTTTTTCAGGAGCTAACCAGCGAACGATTTGTGTAATTCTTCCGATGTCATAAGTGTAAGCCCGTAAAGCATAAGTATAATCGAAATTTGAAATTTTTGGTTCTAGATTCTCGGTTATCAATATGTTTTCGCACCTAACGTTAAGAATTTACTTTATTGTTACTCTCAATTCTAATGTATAAAATACAAATTTAAATATCTACCTAATATCATGATGTAAAATTTGACTACATCGAGTTTTCCAGGTGATTATGAAATATACAAATAATATAATTAATAATCTAGATTCAGAATTTCAATCAAATTGCATTTTTTACTAACCATCCGTGAAGAAAAGTAATCCCACGACAAATGTTTAATGCAATTTTTAATTTTCGAGGCCATTCAATATCAAATTTCTCATATAGTTCTCTTAAATTTCCATTTTCTGCCCATTCAAATACACTAAAAATGTTTCTGTCCTTTTCACATAATCCATGAAAATTAATAATGTAATTACATTTCCCTAAATTACTCAAAATCGCCAATTCAGTACGAACTCTATTTTTTATTTCCGATAATTCGTATAATTTAATACCTGCGGCAACAAATTTACATGCCACATCTTGGCCTCTATAAAGTTTTTTATGTATCTTACGTGATGATATAACCGGCTGATTACTACCAAATTCTTCTGGATCAATTCTATTGATAATAGAGTTGAAACCTTTTTCATATGATTTGCCTTTTAAAGTTATGATGTATTCAAAAATATTGCTAATTTTTTTATCGCTTGTTGTTACACCACCATTGATTTTTTCCAAAAATCTGGACATCTCATTAATATCTTTTTGTAAAATATCGATATCTTTCCTTCTTTTCTCTTCATTAGCAATAATCATTATCAATTGCAAGTCGCTAACAATACTGTCAAAGTCTGTAATTAATTGTTGAAATCTTACTTTAATGTTATCGTTTGAAATAAATTTTCTATAGCCAGATAAATGAGTTACATCTTGAATAAATCCTTTAATTTCTTTCAAAATAGCAACAAATCTTTCAAAGGAATAATAATATGATTGTTTGCAAAAATTTTTTTCTCTTCCTTGATTATAATGATTTAATGCTACTTCTGCTGCTTGTACTCTTTGAATCAATACTGCACATGATTTCTTATTATACTGAGCATATTCATATTCTTCTACAGTTTTTTTTATAATTGAAGTTGCTGCTGTTATTAAAGGAAGATAAGGAACAACAGATTTTCCTAAATTAATTATATTTTCTAAAGCAATTTTTGTAGAATATGCTTTATCATCAACTTGAACTATATTAGGTATAATACTTTGTGAACTTATGCTATCTTTAGATACATCAATAAGATTTGATATATTATTTAATGAACAGTCATTAAAATTCATCATTAACTCGCATGATTTTGAAGCTAATTTATCTATTTCACAGTTGTCTATTTCTTCATTGTTATTATCCATGATTATATCATTTTTTTCTGGAGAATTTATTGATTTAAGGTTTAAAACTACTTTTTGTATATCTGGACGTTCATCTGGTTCACATTTCCAACATTCTATATAGATAAAATAAAATTGATTTTTTTAAATGCCTAAAAAAAGCAATAATATAATTAATATTTACCTTTATACAAATTACTATACGCACTAGGGGTTCCATCAATAACGTTTTCTCTTCTTCCGTCAAGTATAGCCAAGGCTAAACTTACGTCATAATCTTCCCCATAAAACGGGTGATATCCACTTGAGATCTCCCACATAAGAACACCAATGCTATATATATCGGACTTTTTATTTAATGTATATTTATTACTCTTATCGTTGAAACTTTTTGGGTCTATATAAGGTATTACACCATGTACTTTCTTTGATTTGCTTGTTTCTTCGACAATATTTTTTGATAAACCAAAGTCCGCCAATTTAATAATTTTTTTACGTATAAGTATATTACGTGAATGCTACAAATTAAATCATATCAAATTAATTAATTAATTACAATAAATATGATAATATGTAAAGATCATTAATATTACCAGATCACAATGAATAATACCACATTCATGTATGAACTCTACTGCATTTGCAAGTTGTGATGCTAACTGATATTTGTCATCCCAATTAAGTTCATTAAAATGCTTTCCTAAATATGCCTTTAATGTACCACCATCAGCGTATTCCAAAACTAAAGAATATTTTATTGCTTGATAAGTTGAATCTAAAAAATTAAAAAATCATTTAATTTGTTAAATATGGTATTGTTTTTATACAATAGTTAATATCTTATTTTTGAACTTACTTGTCACTAATTTAGTAATTCCATAAAATCGTAAGATATTTTCATGAGAATCAACATTCTGTTGCATTTTTAACTGTGCCATAATAAATAATAAGTTTTTAGTTTGGTTTATTTAATAAAGATATGAAATATAAAAAATAATACCTCTTTAACAATTTCTTCAAGAGTTTGTTCATCATTAAAAGATTTCAAAGCAAAAGTAATATTTCTCCAATTAGCACGAAAGACATTCCCGAATGAACCTCTTCCTATTTTTTTAATATCTTTGAAAACCGAAGGTTCATAATACTTGATACGTCCAACAGAAATTGATTTTTCTAACCATTCGACAATATTTGAAGTTTCTGTAATATTAGACATCCTTACGGCATCTAAGACAAATATAGAAGAGTCTATATGAATTTCTTTAGCCTTTTTTAATTTCATTTGATATGTTACTCATTGATTTGAAGTTAAATTATTTTTTTCTATTACCAGTTACTTTAGCTTCTTTAAATTGCATGTCACTTATTGAATTTATTTTTCTATTATACAGTGGATCATTATTGGTAGAGTCTGTAAGGGATGTATCGTTATTCATATTTTGTACAATCGCCAATTCTGAATCTGAAGATGAAGGTTTTTCATAATCAAATTTCTCATTCAAATTTTCTTTAGTTAACATATATCCAATTAAATTTAAAGAGCATTCCCTTTCCTCGCGGTCAATCTTCAAATTTTTATTATCTGTTGATAGGATACAAACATGTAAATCTATTTTATCTCCGTCAAATTGAGCATCTGAATCAATTATACTTTGAATTGAAATATTAAAATATTGATCATTCCATTCAACTAGTTTAATAATACTAATAGGTTCATAATTTGTTGAAGAGTAATATGCGTGAACGAAAATAGTATACCCTTGAAATAATTGAAAAGGGGCTTTTATATGATGATTTGACTTGTCAATTCGTAACGTAATAGATTCTTTGATATAACCAACTGAAAATTCTCGATTATTTGGACTAAAAATTGATAATTTTGAAGGACTTCCAACAACCATCCATAGAACATAATATTTTTTTATATCAACACTTATTTCCAATTTTTTAATTATCGCATAAAATCCATTATAATTATATAACCCAAAATTAACATAAATTTCTTCTGACTTTGTATTATTTTCTGAAATTATTGATCCGAATACTTTGTAATCTTCACTTCCCAATGAAGATTCTGAATTTAAATTTATACGTTTGTAGTGCATAACATCATTATTATCTAAATCTTTCAAATCAGTAATACCTGTCATTATAATTCGAAAATCATTTTTTAATATATCATCAATTTTTTTTTGTTGTTCTACCTCAAGAATTTTATAGAGTGGGATTATATTATCAAATTCAATAATTTCCAAACTATTATCTGTATTTTGAATCCATTTAGATAAATCATTTATTTCAATAACTTCTCCTTCTTGTGTTAGAAGATACGAAATATTTAAATCATCAAATGTAAGTTTTTCTAAATCAACCACAGGAATACTATTACTTGGTAAAATACTTTTTAAGGAACTTCCTAAGATAATTCTTTGTGGAAATAAATGACCATATTCATTCAAAATATCTCGTAAAATTTTTAATGGCTTCGTGCTACTAAGTGCACTTTCTATTGCTTGTTTAAATTCTTTTGTTGGTTTTATAAGATCTTTATCCAAAAGAATTTCATATCGTTCACATTTGAATAAAATATGAATGTAATCTCCATAATCTCTAAAATTATTTTTAATAAATGGGAATGTACTTAAATTTTTAATTGAAAAAATATTATTAGAAATCAAAATATCTTCTAAATTTGTTAATGGCTTGATATTCCTTTGATAAGATTTATTATTTATATTGACTTTAGGGATTTCAACAAAATCGACTGCGATTTTCTTGCTAATTTTTATTTCATAGTCTTCATTAATTATCAATCCTTGAAAAAGATGAAAATCTTCGGTCCAACTCATTAGGTTACAGTACACTCCATCTCCAACCCACTCTTCTAAACTTAATTTTTCTTTAAATTTGGTGACTCCAGGTTGTTTTTCATTAAAAGTATTAAGGTCATCTATTGGCAATGCATTATGTCTTAATTGAGAAATGGGAATAAGATCATAAGAAATTATATCTATAATTTTATTTTGATATAAGTCATTCATCCATTTGATCAATTTCTCATAGGTATCTAACTCTTCTCCATCCAACGTTACTATTTTTGGTAAAAGATTCAAGGAGAATAAATTATTAAATTGAATTTCTATAGAATATTTAGTTAAATTATTCACATGGAATAAATAAAATTTTAAAATATCTTTTTGTGTCTGAGTAGCTGAGCTAAATTCTTTAATAAATAATTTACCACCAACTAATATTTTTCTTGCAAAGAAATGTCCAAAAGAATCATTGTCATTGTCCGCACATTTTGAAAAAGATTCCAACAAGTCACCTTTATAAGCCATTTCAGCAATTGGAAAATTGATACACACATCAGCTGGCTGTAAATCGTTTATATTAAGATATACAATAGGTTGTCCTTCGTATAAACTCATATTTAATGCGCCATCTTCAACAAAAATTGCTTGCATACTTGATTGTATATTACCCTCAGTTAAAATTAATCCATTATTCAACTTGAACTTTCTAATTATTTGTTGTTGTGTTAATGAACTTTTAAATATTTCATTAATATATTCGTCAGTATCAAATCGTAATTTCATTTGAGATAAAATTTCCCTAACTTCATTAATTCCGGGTCTTATAACTGAATCATCACACCAACATTTTTGATAAAGTTGTTGGTATTCAAAAGGCGTATTTTCAACCGGATCCTCTCTCTTTCCATTTATGATCAATGTTTGAACTGAGCTAAATTCTTCCTGTCCGTAATTAGAAAAAGGAGGATGTCCACTTGACAATTCCCATAAAAGAATACCCAAGCTATAAATATCAGATTTCTTATCTCGCTTATACCTTGGATCACGAAGATACTGAGGTTCAAAATAAACTACATCTACCGACAATTCAAAATCTGTAATCATTAATCTACCACTTTTAATTAATATATTATATGCGTGCTTAACAATAGTATGAGAAAAATAATAATAATAATCATTATTAACTATGAAATAATAACCAAAAAAGCAAAAAGGAAACTTCATATTTACCAAATTTCCATGAATTATCTGTTCAGAATGTAAAAACATTAATCCGAGAGCAATATCCAGTGCCATTTGAATTTTATCATTCCATCGCAGCATATTAAACTTATTTTTTAAATAATTTCTTAAATTTCCTTCGTTAGCATATTCCCAAACTAAAAAATAATTGTCATTTGGATCTATTATTTAAACGCGTAAAAATATATATTGTTAAAGTAGTTTGTATAAGAGTATCATAAATCATATTCGTTTAAACGTAGCAAAATTTATAATTATAGACCTCTCGTTAACCCAAGAAAATGATTGATATTAGGATGATTAATTTTTTGAAAAGTCTTTAACTTGTATAATAAAACATAAATGTTAGTACTGTATTATATTTTATTACTTCTTTCAAACAAATATTATTAGAATAATACCTTTGTGATAAACTCATTAAAATCATTTTCATTAATTATTGAATTATTCAAACTTTTAATTGCGACAGTAATTCTTTGATTTTTCAAATTTGCTTTTTTAAAAGTCCCACTGGTTCCCTCGTCAATTTCTTCTAGATTATTAAATTCGTTATATACAAAATAATTAATATCATATATCCTTTCGTCAATCCATTCTTTTAATAATTTCATTTTTATTTTCTATGAATTAAGATGTACAAGATAAAATTTATAGTTGCATGAGTTGTTGTACAGATTAGTACTAAGAATTATGCGTTGGTGTTAGGGATGTTAACAGTTTATGATTGGATGGTTCGAACCGCAGTTTGATCATAGGACCGGTTTCAGTTCAGTTCAAACGTCAAACCAAACCGAGACCGAACCGATAGAAACCGGTTTAGTGAACCGGTTTTAGATCGGTTCAATTAACGGTTACGTGTATCTGCACGCGTAACTTTTTACAATAAAAGAATAACGGATTTTACATTCTTACATTTTTTTATATCACCTTGCATTATTACAACTATGTCGGGAGTTTTTGAAAATGACGATAATAATTTATCAGATGATTCCTTAGCATCTGATGATGAAAGAATTATAAATAAGAAATTGTCAGCAGATGTTTGGGAGTTTTTTCAAAAAATTCAAGATGAGGAAAGTTGGTTAATTACAAACTATAAGTGTATTTTGTGTGCAAAACTTTATTCACCTGGTAATCCAACATCTACACTTCGACGTCATTTAACTAAAAAACATCCATCACATTATAAAAAACCTGAAACCCGCCAAACTACTTTACGTTTTAAACCTTACTCTCCATCAAAATCTAAACCTATCACAGATTCTTTGGTTGATTTTGTTGCAACTGATTTGCAACCTTTTACCATTGTTGAAAATCCTGAATTCAAATTATTAATTAATAAATTGAATCCCCACTATATTTTACCTTGCAGACAAACCTTAAAGGAAAAATTCATAGAAAATTATAAAATGAGAAAAAATGTGTTAATTAATGAAGTCTCACAAATTAACTCAAAAATCTCTCTTACTACTGATATTTGGACTTCAGAAATCTCAAAAGATTGTTATCTTGGAGTAACAATGCATTATATTAACAACAATTGGGAATTAAAAAATCTCTTACTTGATTTAATTCCTGTAAATGGTTCTCATACAGCTGGGTTAATTACTAGCAAGCTTTTACAAATTCTTGAAGAGTTTAGTATCAGTAATAATATTCTTGCATTAACTACAGACAATGGAAGCAACATGATAGCATGTGGTAATCAACTAGCAACTGAATTAGATCAGGAGTTTAATAATATGGCTTTTACTCATTACAGATGTGCTGCACATATTATAAATTTAGCAGTAAAAGCAGGAATGAGTCATGTTGGAAATGAAATCAAAAAACTTCGTCAATTTGTTGTTAAAATCAAGAATTCACCATTATTTTTGGATAAATTATCAGAAATTTGTACCCTTAAAAAAGTTAAATTTCTTAAACCAATTTTAGATATAGACATTCGCTGGAATTCCACATATTTTATGATTAATAGACAAATCTTAATGCAGGGTGTTTCAGAATTACTTGCAACAACAAATGTTGAAGAACTTGGAGATTTATTTCCAACAATATCTGAATGGCGACATATTAAGGTATTTTTTATTTTATAAATTATTATTTATTTTATTTTATAATTATATATTTATTAATTATTATTTTTTTTTTTACAGGAATTAGCAAAGGTATTAGAACCTATGTATGAAGCAACCAATTTATTATCATCATCAAAAAATCCTACACAAGGTGATATAAGATTGGTTTTTAATGGAATGTTTAAAAAATTGGATCATTATCAAAGAGGAAATCACCATACACAAAAGGCAATAGCATCAGCAATTTGTAATAAATTGAAAGCCTATTGGGACAAATATTTGAATCAATCTTCCATTACTTCTTCAATATTAGATCCACGCTACAAAACCACATTATTTAGTCATAATGATATAACTGAAATTATTAGTAAATTACAAGAATTATATTTGTCATATTTACCCTTAAATAATCAAACCATACCATCAGCACCAGCACGATCATCTCGTGATTATTTTCTTAATTTACTTAATCCAAATAATATTCGTCAAGAAGTATCGCATGATGAATTAGATCGATACTTAAATTCTCCAGTAGATAGTAATACAGGTTCTTTAATTTGGTGGAAAACTTATGAAAAGGATTACCCAGTACTATCTCAAATAGCTAAGGATTATTTAACAATCCAAGCAACGTCGGTTCCATCAGAAAGGGCATTTTCAATTTCGGGATTAACTATTTCAAAAACTAGAAATAGGTTAGATCCTGAAACGGCAAGGGCAATTATATGCATGAAAAATTGGATATCAGAAAAAGAAAGAATGGAAAATTGAATCAATACTTGCAATATGTCTTTTTTTTTTTCCTTTTTTTTTACATTATGTGAAATTTTGTTGGTAATTTTTTTTCTTATAATAAAAAATTTTTTGACGATATACGATATATTTAAATTCATGATCTGCATTACACAATTTTGTATAAAATACTATAAATATCCGGTCTAAACTTCGGTCTAAACTTCAGTCCAAACTTCGGTTCAAACTCTGGTTCTAAACCTATAACGGTTCGGTTTTGTACTCAAACCACCAGTTTTTGGACCGAAAACCGGATGGACCGAACCGTTAACATCCCTAGTTGGTGTGACTATGCGCATCGGCTAAAATACTGAAAAAAAACCTATTTTGTTTACACTACTTTTTTTTTAAAATAAAAAGAAAGATGTCTACCGATAATAACGTTATGGTAGTTATTAAAATTATAAACAACTCTCAATCGCCACAAAATACTAGTAAATTTTGTCGTTTAAATTTAAATAATAATTTATCCGATATTCGTAAAAAACTCAAAAATAGTAAAACCATTAATGACATCGATACATTATTGTTTTCAAAAAAAGAAGGCGACGAATTTGTTGAAATAACTGAAGAAGATTTTCCATTAGAAGAAATTATAGAAGTAATTAATAAAACAAATTCAAAAAGTTATTATTTATATTTAATGAAAAGTTTGAATCCCAGATGGAAAATTTTGAATGAAAAATTTAAATTAGATTATGGACGCACTATGAGTTCTGATGGAATTAAGATAGCTAAAAAAAGAGCGTTCATATTGAAAGACTGTGAATTAATTGAATTTGGAGCTAATGGATATAAAAAAGGACGTCTTGGATTTGAATCAAAAGAGGATTGGATGAAAAAAAGTAATTTATTTGTTAATGTTGATGGTATTAATGTGCATAATTTTGTGGAGTTTGGATTATCAATTGAAAGTTCACAAAATAAAAATTATACTGAGGAGATTAATTCAACTTACCAATATACAGAAATTGCCAAAGTATCATTGAAGTTTGATAAAGAAAATTTAGTATTAACTGATGACTTCAAAAATAAGGTAACTAAAGCTATACAGTCTAAAGATCATAGAAGCTTTAGGGAAATTACTGAGGATTATGGTCAATTCATTCCAACTGAAATTATTTTTGGAGGAAGAGTTTGTTTTAAAGATATTAAAGTATCATCAGAAAATTCTTCAGATAAAGCTAAAGGAGGTTCTTTTGGAGTTTCTTTCGGTTCTTCAAAACTACAAATAGGACGTAATTCTGGTAAATCAGAAAAAGAATCAAATCTCTGTAATTCTGATTGCATAAGATTTCTTGGAGGAAAGCATCCTGATGACGAAAATTTTGATGAAAAATGTTGGATTGAATCTTTAAAAGATTATCAAGATTGGGATTGTATAGAATTTAAAAATCCCATTAATATATTTCAGCTTTTATCTGATAATTTATATAAAAAATCCTTTATATCTCTTGGAAAAAAAATTCTTTATACAGATACTAAAGATTATAATTATATTTTATATGGAGCTGGAATGTATCAAATATTTGAATTAAATGATGATAATATACCGTCACATATTTCAAAAATCATTCAAAATAAAAATGCTGATTGTGATATCTTTGCATCAGTTATTAATACTAAAAATTCAAAAGATATTTTTTTTAATTGCCAAATTTTTCATACCAATAATAATAAATCAAATGAAAAACCAAGTATTATAATTCATAGCATTCAAAAAGAATCAAAAGAATTTCAAAAATGTGAATATAAATTAAAAATTAAGATTATGATTATTGGATATGATATTAATTTTTCTTCAAATATTAGGGTTGAATTAATAAAAAAAAAATATAATTCACAAAATCAACATGAATATTATAATAGTATGATATTACAACCTATTAATCATAACAATTTAATAGAAAAAAATATTCCATTTTTTGGAATTCCTATATTAAGCAACTTTAATTCTTCAAATAATTCCAATATAATTGGACACAATTTTTGCAAATCAGATAATGGACTTAAAATATACACATTTTCTTATTGTTCAAAAAAGAATTGTTATGTTAAATTACCAAAATTTACTTTTTGCACACTTATTATTTTAGATAATATTTCTAATACTTGTACAAAATTACTTCCTTTTGAATTTAGTATGATTAAAAACAAGCCATTTATCAATCTTGAAAAATTTACTGAAAGTTTAGATCCAAAATGGATTAGTTTATATTTACCAATAGATAAAGATTATAGTCCAATTTTTTATAATCAAAAGAAAAAGAAAATTAAGGTAAATTATATTGATTGTAAATGTAATAAAACTTGTTTAGTTTGCAAGAGTAAAAAATTAAAGATATCAGATAAAGATAAAGCCATATGTATAATTTATTCTTTAAGGTAAATTTAAATTATTAATTTTTTTCAAAATTATAATATATATTAAATTTAATGATTTTTTATTTTATTTTTTAGTAATAACCTTATTATAAAATAATGTTAAAACCAATCAAAAATTGTATTTTATTTATTTATTATTTTTATATATTATTAATAAAAATGTTAAATTTATTTTACTAAAAGTTTTTTATTATATTTGAATTGATTTTTATTTATTTATAAGACTTTTTACTTATTATTGATGAATTACAACAGTTCTTGTATAAATTGATAAAATTTGTAATTAAATATTAGATAACTCAAAGTCCTATATTCAATATATAATTCAATTTTGCATAACTTAGACTCACAGTAAAGATGTTAGATCTTAAATTTTTCAGTGAAATGAAAATTGTTTCATACACTATATTTTGAATAATAAATAGAATCCTGTGGCTCCTGTCATTTTAACATAAAATTAGTCAATTCAAATTTTACTATTATACTGACAAATAAATAATCTTTAAATTTACAGCCATAAAGATGCTGAAGAATCATTTTTAACCAAAGTGGGCGAAAAAGGGAAGATAATTAAGAGTAGTTTTAATTCAAATATTTACTACAAGATTAATATTATTTTATAGTAAAATTATATGTGATTGTAAATTAATCAATACCAGATACAGCTGATATAGTTTTGATAATTAGTTTTAAAATTATTGTTGGTTTTTGTATATAAATTAAAGATCGTTTAAAGGGAAAAAAATAAAATTAGTCGCGTAAGTAAAAAATTATTGAATCACGTGACAATACTACTCTGTTATCAAAAAATTTATATCATCCTAATGGTATAGAAATGATTTAATTCCATCGACAATCTTTTCTCTGACTGTCATCGCAAATTCATTTCTCATCACGACTGTATAAATATATATAATTATAATTTGTTTCATCAGAGATAACGCAAATTTTACCAATTGTGATAAATTTCTCGTCATCTTGTTATACAAAAAAAAAGATGATTTCACACTAAATAACCTTTTTTGTTTATAATAAATAATAATTTTTCAATAATGTCATATAAAACTACAGTATCCTTAGTACAGGTCTTTAGTTTAGTATAGTAGGCATCTTCATTATAAAGGGTAAATTATAAATAAACTTACATTCATCACAATCAAAAATCGAAATAACTATTTTTAACTTATCTAACATGTCACGAGCTTTTGAAAAATCCTTAATAGCTTCCAATTTTAAATAACTCTAACCTTTTTCTTCATCTTTTGATATACCCAATTTCCATTGAAATATAAATCACCAAGTTAAATTGAGCTGCAGTATTTCCATTATCAGCAGCCATGGTTAAATACCTTACAAATTCATTTACATTAAATTTACGTGGTAAAGCAAACGCATGTCTTAATTGGGCATCAGGAACTCCACCATCTGCAGTTTCTTTATATAACTCAACTGCTTTAAATTTTTTCAACTACATAACCCTCCGAATAATAATAACCTAACCAATATTTTGCAACTTTATTACTAATTTCAGCATGTTTTACAAAACAATCATATGCTTTCTCTCGATATCCTTTATTATTGGGCCGTTATTCCATCTCCAAGTTTCATCATTGGAGAAATAATTTGATTCAAACCTATTTCTGGTGTATCTGGTCACAAATCAACAGGTGCTACCTCAATTTCATTTTTTGGGTTTAGACCTCTATTTGAGTCTTCTGAAATTCAAGAACATCGAATAAATAACTTAATTCTGGACGAAGAGATGGGTCTGATAGCCAAGCTAAAAATGTAAATTTAACATTTAATGTTATAAATAAATTTACTAAATTGTTAATTTTAAAAAAAATGAATCATACCAGCTTTAATAATGTTGCCATATTCTTCCTCAACTCCATATGAACTTAAATGTTCTCTTTTACCACTTAATACATGTTTTTGAATTTCAGAAATTTTCATATCTCTATATGGAAGCCAATTCCCAAAATAACATACCAAAACTAATATAGCAGAACATTATATTAATTTAAATTTTCAAATAAAAATAAGTCAGTTTTAATATTATTTACCTAAATATCTCACATTGTGTAGTATAAGGAACATTTCCTTCTTCACCTTTTTTGAATTCATTTTCTCAGGAGCTAACCAGCGAATGATTTGTAAAATTTTCTGATGTCAGAAGTGTTTGCCTGTAAGGCATAAGTATATTCAAAATTTGAAATTTTGGTTCTAGATTCTCGGTTATTAATATGTTTTCGCACCTAATGTTAAGAATTTACTTTATTTTTACTCTAAATTCTAATATATAAAATACAAATTTAAATATATACCTAATATCATTATGTAAAATTTGACTACATCGAGTTTTCCAGGTGATTATGAAATACATAAATAATATAATTAATAATCTAGATTCAGGATTTCAATCAAATTTGCATAATTTACATTTTTTTTACTAACCATCCATGAAGAAAAATAATCCCACGACAAATGTTTAATGCAATTTTTAATTTTCGAGGCCATTCAATATCAAATTTCTCATATAGTTCTCTCAAATTTCCATTCTCTGCCCATCCAAATACACTCAAAACGATTCCATCCTTTTCACATAATCCATGAAAATTAATAATGTAATCACATTTCCCTAAATTACTCAAAATTGCCAATTCAGCATGGAACTGTTTCTGATGATTTGTCAGATTTATCAGATTTATTTTGTTCTTCATCAATAAGTTTACATGCCACATCCTGGCCTCTATAAAGTTTTTTATATATCTTATACTTGTTACGTGATGATGCAGCTGGTTGACTACCACCAATAGGTTCTTTTAACTCTTTTGAATCAATTCTATTGATAATAGGGTTGAAACCATTTTCAGATGATTTGCCTTTTAAAGTTAAGATATGTTCGAAAACATTACTAATCTTATTATTAATAGTTGCCACACCACCTTCAATTTTTTTAAAAATTTGTTCATTTCGTCAATATCTTCTTGTAACATAGCGATATCCGACCGTCTTTCATCTTCATTAGCAATTACCATTGCCAGTTGTAAATCTGCCACAACACTATCAAAATCTGTAATTAATTGTTGAAATCTCTCTTTAATATGAACGCTTGAAATAAATTTTCTGTAACCAGTTAAATGAGTTACATCTTGAATAAATCCTTTAATTTCTCTCAGAATAGCAACAAATCTTTCAAAGTTAAAATAATATGATTGATTGCGAAATTTTCTTTCATTTTCTTGTTTACGCTTATTTAACGCTTGAACAGCTACTTCAGCTGATTGCACTCTTTCAATTAATGCTGCGCATGATTTCTTAGTATTATATTGAGCACTTTCATATGCTTTTACAATTTGTTGTGTAAGTGCAGCTACTGCTGTTATCAAAGGAAGATAAGGTCCAACAGCCTCTCCTACATTGCTCACAGCTTCTAAAGCAAATTTAGAAGTGTCTGCCAAAGTATCTTTGGCTTCTAAGTCTAGAGTTTCTAGGAAAGTCTGTGCCTTTATAAGATATAACATTTGACATGCTACTTATTGACTTTGAGGCTAGTTTATCCATTTCATTGTTATTTATATCTTCATTGTTATTATCCATAATCATATCGTTTTTTTCGGGAGAAATTATTGATTCAAGAGTTGAGGCAAGTTTGGAAGAATATGCTTTATTATTAATTCGAACTATATTAGGTATAATACTTTGTGAACTCATCAATAAGATTTGATGTATTACTTAATGAACAATCATAAAATTATTCATCGTTAACTCGCATGATTTTGAAGCTAATTCATTCATTTTACAGTTGTTTATTTCTTCATTGTTGTTATCCATGATTGTATCATTCCTTTCGGGAGAAATTATTGAGTTAAAAATTAAAACTACTTTTTGTATATCTGGACGTTCATTTGGTTCACCTTCCCAACATTCTAAATAGATAAAATAAAATTGATTTTTTTTTAATAACCAAAAAAAACGATAATATAATTAATATTATTTACCTTTATATAAATTACTATATGCACTAGGAGTCCCATCAATAACGTTTTCTCTTCTTCCGTAAAGTATAGCCAAGGCTAAACTTACGTCATAATCTTCCCCATAAAACGGTTGTTGTCCACTTGAGATCTCCCACATAAGAACACCAATGCTATATATATCGGACTTTTTATTTAATGTATATTTATTACTCTTAATGTTGAAACATTTTGGGTCTATATAAGGTATTACCAAATACTTTTGAATTGCTTGTTGCTTCGGTAATTTTTTTTTGATAAACCAAAGTCCGCCAATTTAATATTTTTTTTTACGTATAAGTATATTATTTGAATGTTACAAATCAAATCAAATCAAATTAATTAATTAATTATAATAAATATGATAATATGTAAAGATCATTAATATTACCAGATCACGATGAATAATACCACATTAATGTATAAACTCTACAGCATTTGCAAGTTGTGATGTTAACTGATATTTGTCATTCCAATTAAGTTCATTAAAATGCTTTTTTAAATAAGCTCTTAATGTACCACCATCAGCGTATTCCAAGACTAAAGAATATTTTACTTGACAAATCGAATCTAAAAAATTAAAAAAAATCATTTATTTGTTAAATACGGTATTGTTTTATACAATAAGTATTTTATATTTTGAAATTTACTTGTCTCAAATTTAGTAATTCCATAAAATCGTAAAATATTTTCATGAGAATCAACATTCTGTTGCAATTTTAACTGTGCCATAATAAATAATATAAGTTTTTAGTTTGGTTTATTTAATCAAAGTTATAAAATATAAAATATAATACTACCTCTTTAACAATTTCTTTAAGAGTTTGTTCATCATTAAAAGATTTCAAAGCAAAAGAAATATTTCACCATTTAGCACGAAATACATCCCCGAATGGACCTCTTCCTATTGTTTAATATCTTTGAAATCCGAAGGATCATAATACCTGATACGTCCATCAGAAACTGACTTTTCTAACCATTCGTTGTCAATATTTGAAGTTTCTGTGGTATTTGACATTTGGTTAATTCTATAATGCTAAATACTTCGATTTGTCATTAGATAACCTAAAAGAATGCACATTGGAAAATTTTTTTAAAAATTGTGCACAACTATACAAAAATAATTTTCGTGTGCAGTGTGCACATTTAAATTTAAAAAATTGTGTTACCGGCCCTAAAAAAAATGTGCACATTCCCGGAGTGATCCATGTATTTGTGTAACCCGTTTATCTATCCCCCAAGTCAGTCGGGTGGCTCGGGTCTTTTTTATTCGGGCCAGTCTTTAGGAATAGTAACAATGTTTATACCATTGAAATTTTGTGGATATACCAAAGACCGCAAAGTAGCAAAATTTGAGCTTAATCCTAGGATTATTACTGGTAATAAAAATCATAAAAGATCAGGAAAAATGGCATTTTATACCTTAGGTGCTACATCGCTTTAAAACGGTCGATTTGATCAAGACCAAATTTGCTATTTTATTAGTCTTCAATCCATCTTTACCTAGATCATACAACCGAAAAATTGCACTAGAACCAGTCAGCCAGAGATATTTAATGAAATATAAATTATCAAATTGAATTTAAAATTTTTAGAATATAATACCTAAATAAATTAATTAATATTAATATATAGTTATTAGTATGGATTATTGATCAGATTTTTGATCAGGTTTTAAAAATTTTTGTGAATTCTGATTTAATTACATATTTAGATTGAATGATTAATTAATAGATTTTGTGATCAAAAATCTGAACTGAACTAGTCTATTGAATAATAAAATATAATAAAATGCTTAATATTGATTAACTTTTTTAGTAGCTTTATGATAATAAATTAATTAATTTGCTTATGCATTATTTAGGAAATTCTGGCAATAAATAAATTAATTATTAATAGTATAACGTGGAAAATATAACCAAAATTATAATCTTATACTGTAGGATATTGAATATAATAAATAACATGCATGTTATTAATACTAAAAAGCAAAAAATATCAAAAATTACATAAGTAATAAAAACAACTCTAATTATTATTGTTTTTGTATATAAATTAAGGATCGTTTAAAATGTAAAAAAAAACCAATAGTCTTAGGCGCGTAGCATTCCGTAGCATTATTTTTGCCGAATTTGCCGAATTTACCGAATTTGTTAGAAATTAATAATTATCTGTTATTTTCATTTTTCAACGTAAAATTGAATCACGTGATAATACAGCGTAGTACACCTCTCTAAGTGCACCCTCCTTGGGACCATAGTAAAAAAATAGTAGAATGTGCACTTAGAGAGGGTGTGCATTTATAGAGAGTAAAATATTAAGAGCTCTTATAAGTTGGGACCAGGCCCACCGTGCACTTAAAGAGAATTTATATAGTGCGTGCACTTATAGAGGGTGCACTTATAGAGGTGTCACTGTATAAGAAATGTGATCATTATTAATGGTATTAAATTTAAGGAATGATTTAAGAGAATATAGACATTCCATCAACTGACGGTCATCACAAATTCATTTTCTCATCACGATCCAATATACTGTATAATTGTAATTTATTTCCTCGACAAAGATAACACGAATTTTATCAATTTCTCTGAATATTAGATAATCGAAAAATGAAATTTCTCGTCGCCTTTTTAAATTTTTGTTATGCAAAATCACAACAAATCAAAAAGATATTATCAAATTAAATTTCAAATAACCTTTTTTGTTTATAATAAATAATAATTTTTCAATAATGTCATATAAAACTATCTTAGTACAGGCCTTGTAGTTTTAATATAGTGGACATCTCATCGTAAAGGGTAAATTATCCATAAACTTAAAATAAATATTTTTAAATACATCACATTAAACGAAGTAATTAATTCTTAACTTATCTAACATAGCACGAGCTTTTGGTTGACCCTTAATAGCTGCCAATTTTAAATAACTTAAACCTTTCTCTTCATCCTTTGAAATAGTCAATTTTCCATTGAAATATAAATCACCTATATTAAATTGAGCTGCAGTATTTCCATTATCAGCCGCCATAGTCAAATATTTCACAAAATCTTCTAAATTAAATTTAAGTGGACTATTTTTGACTGATAAAACATACACGTATCTTAATTGGGCATCAGGAACCCCTTTATCAGCAGCTTCTTTAAATAACTCAACTGCTTTACCTAAATTTTTATCAACTACATAACCTTCCCAATAATAATGACCTAGCCAATATTTTGCAACTTTATTATTTATCTCAGCATGTTTTTCAAAACATTCAAAAGCTTTTTTTCTGTCTCCAATCTTATGAGCTGATATTCCATCTTCAAGTTTCATCATTGGCAAAATAAAATCCATTTGGTCTAAATCGAATTCTATATCTCCTGGTGGAAGTTCAATAGGTGTTACTTCCATATCACTTCTTTTCGGATTTAGTCCTCTGGGTAAACGATCTGAAATAAGAGGAGATCTCAAATATTCAAGAACATTGAATAAATAACTTAATTCAGGACGAAGAGATGGGTCAAATAGCCAAGCTAAAAATGTAAATTTAACATTTAATGTTATAAATAAATTCACTCAATTGTTATTTTTACAAAAGGTAAACATACCAGCTCTAATTATGTTGCCATATTCCTTTTCAACTCCATATGAACTAGAAGGAAAATTTAAATTCTCTCTTTTACCACTTAATACATGTTTTTTAATTTCATAAATTTCCATATCTTTATATGGAAATCTTTGAAAAGCTAATTCCCAAAGTAACATTCCAAAACTATATAGTAGAACATTTATATCAATTTAGAATATCTTTGAATAAAAATAAGTCAATTTTCAATGAAAATATTTACCTAAATATTTCACATTGTACAGTATAACGATTCCCGGAATCCATTTTCTCAGGAGCTAACCAACGAACGATGTGTGTAATATTCCCAATGTCGGTAGTATTTGCTTGTAAAACACGACTATACTTGAAATTCGAAATTTTGGGTTCCAAATTATTGGTTATCAATATATTTTCACATCTAATGTTGAGATTTCCCTTAATTATCATTATTCAAATTCAACATGAATTCAAGTATAAATTAAATAATTACCTAATATCATGATGTAAAATTTTACTATATCGAGTTTTCAGGTAATTGTGAGAAATATAGTTAGTATTCTAGATCCAGAATTCAATCAAATTACACTTTTTTACTAACCACCCATGAAGAAAAGTAATTCCACGGCAAATATTTATTGCAATTGTTAATTTTCGAGGCCATTCAATATCAAATTTCTTATATAATTCTCTCAAATTTCCATTTTCTGCCCATTCAAATACACTTAAAACGCTTCCGTCCTTTTCACATAATCCATGTAATTTAATAATGTAATCACATTTCCCTAAATTACTCAACATTGCCAATTCAGAATGAACCCTACTTGAAATTGATGGAACTGTTTCTGATGATTTGTCAAACTTATCTTCGGTAATAAGTTTATTTGCTACATCTTGACCTCTATAAAGTTTTTTATGTATCTTATACTTATTACGTGATGATACAACTGGCTGACTACCACCAACAGGTTCCTTTAACTCATTTGAATCAATTATATTGATGATAGGGTTAAAAACTTTTTCAGGTGATTTACCTTTTAAAGTTATGATGTATTCAAAAATATTGCTAATTTTTTTATCGCTTGTTGTTACACCGCCATTGATTTTTTCCAAAAATCTGGTCATCTCATTAATATCTTTTTGTAAAATATCGATATCCTTCTTTCTTTTCTCTTCATTAGCAATGAACATTATCAATTGCAAGTCACTAACAACAATGTCAAAGTCTGTAATTAATTGTTGAAATCTTACTTTAATGTTATCGTTTGAAATAAATTTTCTATAGCCAGATAAATGAGTTACATCTTGAATAAATCCTTTAATTTCTTCCAAAATAGCAACAAATCTTTCAAAGGAATAATAATATGATTGTTTGCAAAAATTTTTTACACTTCCTTGATTATAATGATTTAATGCTACTTCGGCTGCTTGTACTCTTTGAACCAATACTGCACATGATTTCTTATTATACTGAGCATATTCATATACTTCTACAGTTTGTTTTATAACTGAAGTTGCTGCTGTTATTAAAGGAAGATAAGGAACAACAGATTCTCCTAAATTAATTATACTTTCTAAAGCAATTTTGGTAGAATATGCTTTATCATCAACTTGAACTATATTAGGTATAATACTTTGTGAACTTATGCTATCTGTAGATACATCAATAAGATTTGATACATTATTTAATGAACAGTCATTAAAATTCATCATTAACTCGCATGATTTTGAAGCTAATTTATCTATTTCACAGTTGTCTATTTCTTCATTGTTATCATCCATGATTATATCATTTTTTTCGGGAGAAGTTATTGATTTAAGGATTAAAACTACTTTTTGTATATCTGGACGTTCATCTGGTTCACATTTCCAACATTCTATATAGATAAAATAAAATTGATTTTTTTAAATGCCTAAAAAAAGCAATAATATAATTAATATTTACCTTTATATAAATTACTATACGCACTAGGGGTTCCAGCAATAACGTTTTCTCTTCTTCCGTCAATTATAGCCAAGGCCAAACTTACGTCATAATCTTCCCCATAAAACGGTTGATATCCACTTGAGATCTCCCACATAAGAACACCGGTGCTATATACATCGGACTTTTTATTTAATGTATATTTATTACCCTTAATATTGAAACTTTTTGGGTCTATATAAGGTATTAAACCAAATACTTTTGAATTGCTTGTTGCTTCGGTAATTTTTTTTGATAAACCAAAGTCCGCCAATTTAATATTTTTTTTACGTATAAGTATATTATTTGAATGCTACAAATCAAATCAAATCAAATTACTTAATTAATTAATAATTATAATAAATATGATAATATGTAAAGATCATTAATATTACCAGATCACGATGAATAATATCACATTCATGTATAAACTCTACAGCACTTGAGAGTTGTGATGCTAACTGATATTTGTCATCCCAATTAAGTTCATTAAAATGCTTTTTTAAATATGCCCTTAATGTACCACCATCAGCATATTCCAAAACTAAAGAATATTTTATTGCTTGATAAGCTGAATCTAAAATTTAAAAATCATTTATTTGTTAAATATGGTATTGTTTTTATACAATAGTTATTTTATATTTTGAAATTTACTTGTCGCAAGTTTAGTAATTCCATAAAATCGTAAAATATTTTCATGAGAATCAACATTCTGTTGCATTTTTAACTGTGCCATAATAAATAATAAGTTTTTAGTTTGGTTTATTTAATCAAAGATATAAAATATAAAATATAATACCTCTTTAACAATTTCTTTAAGAGTTTGTTCATCATTAAAAGATTTCAAAGCAAAAGAAATATTTCTCCAATTAGCACGAAAGACATCCCCGAATGAACCTCTTCCTATTGGTTTAATATCTTTGAAGTCTGAAGGTTCATAATACCTGATACGTCCATCAGAAACTGACTTTTCTAACCATTCGACGTCAATATTTGAAGTTTCTGTAATATTTGACATCCTGTTTAATTCTATATTGATAAATACTTCGATTTGTCATTAAATAACCTAAAAATAATTGTCTACAAAAATGTCAGGAATATGAAAAATTTTATAGAATGTGATTATGTAAATTGTGGTAAATAATCATAATTTATAATGCCTTCAGTTCAATCCGTGATCCAGTGTATGAAAAATATCATTTGTGCATATGTGCGCATTGGAAAATTATTTTTCACATTTAAAAAACTTCTTTAAAAAATTGTGCTATGTTAGTGATGGAAAATCGCCTTAAAAGAACCATGTATTTGTGTAACCCGTTTATCCCCTAGATCTAGATCTAAAGATGGTCAGAAGGATCTTTTTTATTCGGGCCGATTTTTACAATATTTGTACCCTTGAAATTTTGTAGCACAATGGGATATACTAAAGACCGCAAAGTAGCAAAATTTGAGCTTGAACCTAGGATCATTACTGGTAAAAATCATAAAAAATGGCATTTTATACCTTAGATGCTACATGCTTTAAAACGGTTGATTTGATCAAGACCAAAATTTGCTATTTTATTAGTCCTCAATCTGTTCTATGACCATCTTTACCTAGATCATACCGAAAAATTGCACCACAGCCAGTCAGCCAGAGATATTTAATGAAATATTATTTTTATATAGAATATAAATATATATTGAATATAATACCTAAATTAATTAATGACGAATTGACGATCAATATTATCCATAATTTATTATAATAGATAGTTATTAGTATGGAGTATTCAATATAAATGTAGATGTGATTGGCTGCCATGCAGTGGCATATAATTATAACAATTATACTACAGTCTAAGTGCATCCCCTTAGGACCATAGTAAAAAAATAGTAGAATGTGCACTTAGAGAGGGTGTGCATTTATAGAGAGTAAAAATGTAAAATATTGAGCTCTTCTTATAAGTTGGGACCGGGCCCACTATGCACTTAAAGAGAATTTATATAGTGTGTGCACTTATAGAGGGGCACTTATAGAGGTATTACTGTATAATATTAGGCGTTTATTTAGGCCTGTTCAATTCTTATTTTGATTACAATTCAAAAACAATATGTTAATCGGTTATTATTAAAAATTTATATTTTGCGATCCAACTCAATTCTGCTTAAATGATTGATTAATAGATTTTGTGATCAAAAATCTGAACTGAACTATTCTATTGAATAATAAAATGCTTAATAATGATTATATTTTTTGGTAGCCTTATATGATCATAATAAATTTATTAATTTGCTTATATGCATTATTTTACACCATTTATTGCTAGTATGGAAATTCTGGCAATAAATAAATTAATTATTAATAGTATAACGTGCCAAATATAAACAAAATTATAATCTTATAGGATATTGAATATAATAGATCACATATTATTAATACTATTATTAATACTATAAAGCAATTTTTTTAAAAAATAATAAGTAATAAAAACAAACTTTGATTATTATTGGTTTTTGTATATAAATTAAGGATCGTTTAAAATGGAAAAAAAATTTAGAATAGTATAAAAAAAAATTTGTAAAATTGAGTTCATCAACGTAAAATTGAATCACGTGATAATACTGTATAAGAAATGTGTTATCAAAAATTTATATTATTATTGTCTTTAAATGGTATTAAATATAAGGGGTATTAAATTTAAGGAATGATTTAAGAGAATATAGACATTCCATCAACAATCTTTTCCCTGACGGTCATCACAAATTCATTATTTTGATCCAATATACTGTATAATTGTCCTCGACAAAGATAACACGAATTTTATCGATTTCTCTGAATATTAAGTGGATAATCGAAAAATGAAATTTTTCAAATTTTGTTATGCAAAATCACAACAAAATCAAAAAGATATTATCAAATTAAATTTCAAATAACCCTTTTTATTTCTAATATAATAATTTTCCAATAATGTCATAAAAATATCTTATTACAGGCCTTGTAGTTTTAAATATAGTGGACTGTGGACATCTTCATTGTAAAGGGTAAATTATCCATAAACTTAAAAAAAATCTTATTACTAAATACATCACATTAAACGAGGTAATTAATTTTTAACTTATCTAACATAGCACGAGCTTTTGGTTGACCCTTAATAGCTGCCAATTTTAAATAACTTAAACCTTTCTCTTCATCCTTTGAAATACCCAATTTTCCATTGAAATATAAATCACCCAGGTTAAATTGAGCTGCAGTATTTCCATTATCAGCCGCCATAGTTAAATATTTTACAAATTCTTCTAAATTATATTTAAGTGGACCATTTTTATCTGATAAAGCAAACGCGTATCTTAATTGGGCATCAGGAACCCCTTTATCAGCAGCTTCTTTAAATAACTCAACTGCTTTATCTAAATTTTTATCAACTACATAACCTTCCCAATAATAATAACCTAGCCAATATTTTGCAACTTTATTATTTATTTCAGCATGTTTTTCAAAACATTCAAAAGCTTTTTTCTGTCTCCCATCTTATGAGCTGATATTCCATCTTCAAGTTTCATCATTAGCAAAATAGAATCTATTTGGCCTAAATCGAATTCTGTATTTCCTGGTGGCAATTCAATAGGTGTTGCTTCCATATCACTTCTTTTCGGATTTAATCCTCTAGGTGAACGATCTGAAATTAAAGGTGAACTCAAATTTTCGAGATCATTGAATAAATAACTTAATTCTGGACGAAGAGATGGATCCGAATGCCAGGCTAAGAATGCAAATTTAACATTTAATTATTAATTTCACTTAGAGTAAATAAATTTACTAAATTATTCTTTTTAAAAAAGATAAACCATACCAGCTTTAATAATGTTACCATATTCTTTCTCAACTCCATATGAACTGAAAGGAAAATTTAAATGTTCTCTTTTACCATTTAATACATGATTTTGAATTTCAGAAATTTCCATATCTTTGTATGGAAATCTTTGAAAATCTAATTCCCAAAGTAACATTCCAAAACTAAAATAACAGAACACATATTAATTTAATAAAAATAAGTCACTTTTCAATGCTATATATTTACCTAAATATCTCACATTGTATGGTATATGGAACATAATCATCATCTTTCTTACCTTCATCTTTCTTCGGTGCCTGTTGTGCTGCTGAAACAGCGGTTGCAATTGCTGTCTGTGTTTTCTTTGAAATCATTTTCTCAGGCGCTAACCAACGAACGACTTGTGTAATATTCCCAATGTTGGTAGTATTTGCTTGTAAAGCACGACTATACTTGAAATTCGAAATTTTTGGTTTCAGATTATCGGTTATCAATATATTTTCACATCTAATGTTGAACATTTTAATTTAATTATCATTATTCAAATTCACATGAATTCAAGTATAAAGTAAATATTTTACCTAATATCATGATGTAAAATTTGACTACATCAAGTTTTCAGGTAATTGTGAGAAATATAATATAGTTAGTAATCTAGATTCATAATATCAATCAAATTGCACTTTTACTAACCATGCGTGAAGAAAAGTAATCCCACGACAAATGTTTAATGCAATTTTTAATTTTCGAGGCCATTCAATATCAAATTTCTCATATAGTTCCCTCAAATTTCCATTCTCTGCCCATCCAAATACACCTAAAACGCTTCCATCCTTTTCACATAATCCGTGAAAATTAATAACGTGATCACATTTCCCCAAATTACTCAAAATTGCCAATTCAGAATGAACCCTACTTGGAATTGGTGTAACTGTTTCTGATGATTTGTCAGATTTATCAGGTTTATTTTGTTCCTCGGCAATAAGTTTACATGCCACATCTTGTCCTCTATAAAGTTTTTTATGTATCTTATGCTTGTTACGTGATGATACAACTGGTTGACTACCACCAACAGGTTCTCTTAACTCATTTGGATCAATTCTATTGATAATAGGGTTGAAATCTCTTTCAGATGATTTGCCTTTTAAAGTTAAGATGTGTTCGAGAACATTACTAATCTTTTTATCAATTGTTGTCACGCCACCTTCAATTTTTTCTAAAAATTTGGTCATTTCGTCAATATCTTCTTGTAACATAGCGATATCCGACCGTCTTTCATCCTCATTAGCAATTACCATTGCCAGTTGTAAATCCCCTACAACATTATCAAAATCTGTAATTAATTGTTGAAATCTTTCTTTAATGTGAACACTTGAAATAAATTTTCATAGCCAGATAAATGAGTTACATCTTGAATAAATCCTTTAATTTCTCTCAGAATAGCAACAAATCTTTCAAAGGAATAATAATATGATTGATTGCGAAAATTTTTTTCATTTTCTTGTTTACGCCGATTTAATGCTTGAACGGCTATTTCAGCTGCTTGTACTCTTTCAAGCAATACCGCGCATGATTTCTTATTATATTGAGCACTTTCATATGCTTTTACGATTTGTTGTGTAAGTGAAGCTACTGCTGTTATCAAAGGAAGATAAGGTCCAACAGCTTCTCCTATATTACTTACGGCTTCTAAGGCAAAATTAGAAGTGTCTACTATAGTATCTTTAGCTTCTTTTAATCTAGAATTTTTAAGAGAGTCTGTGTCTTTAAAAGATTTCTCATTTGACATGTTACTTATTGATTTGGAAGTTAAATTATTTATTATCCATTACCATAATAAAAATTTCTCAACTTTAGTTAAAATTTATCCGCTCAAATTCTCTTAAACGATCAAATCTTAAAAAAATTGATAAATTGTCACATGACAAATGATCACTACATAAACATTCTCGATTAAATGCCACTGAAAATTATTGCCAGCTGAAAAATAATTTTTGGGAATTCTATACTTAATTTACCCCTTGAGATTTATCCCTTTAATGTAGTATCGGACTTGATCATTGACGCATTACAGAGATCAAGAATGAACTTCACAATAAAGCAGAATTTAACAAATTTCTCGTAAATTGAACTTTGTGACAACAATATCATAACGAAAATATTTCTTCGTACTTCATAATGTTTATTTTTACGTTATTTGCTAGTAATGCACATACTATCTAAAGATTTATCTTTTGTTACATATATAATTTTAATTTTTTTTCATCACTATACCATAAAAATATTTTAGTAAAATTAGATCATAAAGAGGTTAAAGTATACGAATTATCAGAATTTCGCAAATTGTGCAAATTGTTGTCACCAATGTCATGACCAGTTATTGGATTGTTATTTGGATGACAGATGACGGTAGTGTTTACTTGTATTACTGATCCAAAGAAATAAAGCTAGACAATACAAAAAAAAGAGTAGTGCAATATTTAAAACATACAATATTTTACTGAGCATGTCCTGTGTGGTATTAGCAATCCATTCGATGACAGTTAAAAGATCATTATTATTATTCTCATTATAGTTCGTCTTGAGTTTCGTTTCTAAGGATGCTTAAATTCCCATATTTCCTTTCTCAAAAAAAAGGTTATAAAAGATAAATGAGGAACGTATAAGTAGAGAGTGGTAGACTACATAAAAGGAAACAAAAATTATTAAACTTTTTATTAAATTTATAATAAATTATTAAATACTTATAGTATGTACGGTACCTATTATATATCAGTTTCGTGGTAAAAGAAGAAAGGGAATGGGAATAAGAGTCAAAGCTGTAAATTTTGACATTTTTTTAAACGAAAATCATTTAAATAATAAAAAAATTTACTACTTAAATTATATACTTATTATAGTATCCAGATTGTGCTACGCAAATGGCACAATCTGGCTGGTTTTAATGGTTATGTGTGGATTGATTTTTCACCTTTTCTACCCCACATGTTATTAATCGCATTTTTTAAAATATGCTTTTTAATAAACATAAAAAACAACATTTCATACTTTAAAGTATACAGTATACTGCATATATACTTACTTATAAAGTTAACAATACAAATAATTAATAAAGTGAAAATTTTATTTGATTTTTATTTTATTAAGCATTAAGAGTAAAATACAGTAAAAACACGTAACATGTTTTAATATTGTTATTTTTTGAGATTTATTATTAGGATAGTGTGAAAGTTGTAAGGTACGAAATTTCTTATTAAAAGATGTAAAAGTCATTTGATTTCTCCTTATTAAGAAGAGTGTTAAATTTTCTTAACATTTAATTACTAAGAAGGTGTAGATACGGAATTTTCTCCGTGAATATACAAAATAAACTCAATAAAATTAGATAGTTCCATCTCCGATTTTTTTTAAATTGCTGAATTCTTTACATATAAAATAGTTATTATCATTTCGTTCAGTATAAATTTAGCGTGTAAAAGATATAAAATTCATGTTACATTGGCGTAAAATATTAGACTTTGTGCGCATTGATAATATTTTACATTTTACTAAAAAAAAAAGAATTTCTCCCTTATGATAATTATTAAAATTACAAACGATTCACAATAGCCACCAGTAAATATAATTTCTCAGATATTCGTAAAAAAAACTCAAATACCATTATCGATATCGATATATTATTGTTTTAAAAAAAGAAGGCAATGAATTTTTGAAGATTTTCCGGTAGAAAAAATTTTAGAATTAATAAAAAAATTCAATAAGTCACATTTATATCTGAATATTTTGAATGAAAAGTTTAGATTATGAACGTACTATGAGCTCTGATGGAATTAAAAAAGCTAAAAAAACTGGAACGTTCATAATGAAAGACCATGAATTAATTACGAATTTTAACCCTAATTAGAATTTGATTTGGAATTTGTAACTAAATCCGAATCCGATTTTATGCTCGACTGTACCAGAGCGATAAGATATATTTATTAACATGTGGATTATTACGATTAAAGTAGCAAAGTTATACACATTACAATATTGAATTAACTTTTTCGTTAAATTTTTATTTGTGAACTTTTGACTGATAATCCAAAATCTACAAATTATATCTATCAATTCCAATTACCTACTTGTATCATTCAGCATAAACAAATAATATCACGAAAAGCCTTGTTAAACAGCCAGAGATAGATATTGCAAATTATTTGTTTTCAAAATGGTATAGCCTGTTATATTTGATTACAAGACACGAACTGGGCAACAACCAGACGAATATTGATATTCGAATACTAATCACAATAAGATATACCATTTCGAAACCAGAAATTATAGTGTATATTCAGAAGCCTTTCAATAAAAGTTATGGAAATGAAATAATAATAATAAAAATTAATAATAACTAACATTTGATGTATCGTCAAGTTAATTATTGCTGATATTTGCAACTTTGTTATTTATTTCTTTATGTCTACAAACATTCAAAGATTCATTTTTCTCATTCTACATCATTTCTTTTCATCTAGATGAACTTTCTGAAATGAAAAGAAGAACTCGAATTTTTGGATCATTGGTTACGTTAAATTTCGTTTAAATAAGCACTAGTCACTTTTTTATGATTACGCAACGGGGTGGGTTCCGTCTTAAATATATCATGTTTCCTTTAGAAATATTTAAGATTATAGATAAAAAAAATTATTTAATAATTTTAAATTTGTAATTTGAAAACGGTGAGCAAAGATTACAACTCGATATGTCAAATTGAGGTGAGTTCAATTAATTGAGTGGGTCAATTGGAATTCATACAATCGGAGACCAAATTTCTAATTTTGAAAATAAACGTCTCGCATACAGTATGTTCAGTACATAGTATGTTAGGGTGGGATTTTTAAATTCATAAATTCGTCTTTGCAAATTGCCCAATCTTGAAAAATGGTGGAAATGGAAATTTACTTGCCGGTTTTGAGCCGTTAACCCCTTTATATTACTTTTTTTCTTAATAGGTTCGAAAGTACGTATGTATAAATTTAGAGATATTTCTAACTAATATTTTACTAAACAAAACACGTAAAAATTTAAGACTTGAAACAATTGATACAATTCATTATATGTAATATTTTAATGTGTATTTCAGAAAGTGAGTACATATTAATATAAAATCGCTATTATTGAATATTTGATGATAGCAAGAGGGTACTTTCTTTTTAAATTATTAATCGGAAAAACTTACGCAATTGTTTCATATAAAACAAATAATTTACAATAACGAACAAAATTTAAATATTCGGAGAAATTATTGGGCACCATTAATTACTCCACAGGACGTACTAATAATGAAAAATCTAAAACTTTCTTACATCATATTAAACAAAATGATTAATTTTTAACTTATCTAACATAGCACGAGCTTTTGGTTGACCCTTAATAGCCGCCAATTTTAAGTAACTTAACCCTTTCTCTTCATTTTTTGGTATACCCAATTTTCCATTATAATATAAATCACCCAAATTATATTGAGCAGCATGATTTTCATTATTAGCAGCCATGGTTAAATACCTTACAAATTCATTTACATTAAATTTACGTGGACTAATTTCTGATAAAGCAAACGCATATCTTAATTGGGCATCAGGAACTCCTCTATCCGCTGATTCTTTAAATAGCTCGATTGCTTTCTGTAAACTTTTTTCAACAATGTAACCTTCCAAATAATAATAACCTAACCAATATTTTGCAACTTTGTTATTTATTTCAGCATGTTTTACAAAACAATCATAAGCTTTCTCTCGATCTCCATTTTTATGAGCCGTTATTCCATCTTCAAGTTTCATCATTGGAGAAATAATTTGTTCTATCCCTACTTCTGGCGTACCTGGTCGCAAATCAATTGACGCTATTTCAATTTCATTTTTTTTCGGTTTTAAACCTCCATTTGAATCTTCTGAAGTGAAGGTAGAACTCAAATTTTCAAGATCATTGAATAAATAACTTAATTCGGGGCGAAGTGATGGATCCGATTGCCAAGCTAAAATTGTAAAATTTAACATTAAATTAATAAATTAATATCATTTAAAATAAATAAATTTTTAATAAAAACATACCAGCTTTAATTATGTTGCCATATTCCTTTTCAACGCCATGCGAATTCTTTGAATGTACAAATTTTACCTTTTCTCTTTCACCATTTAATACATGTTTTTGAATTTCAGATATTTCCATACGAAGGTATGGGATTTTCTGAAAAGCTAATTCCCAAAGTAACATTCCAAAACTAAGATAACAGTAAATTTATATAGTTTAAAATAATTCAAAACAAAATAAGTCAATTTTTCATTACATATATATATATTTACCTAAATATCTCACATTGTATAGTATAAGGAACATGTTCATCTTCATTCCCTTCTTTTAACCCTTCTTCTTTATTCAGCACCTGTTGTGTTAATTTAGCAATTTCTTGATTTATCTTTTTTGAATTCATTCTCTCAGGAGCTAACCAACGAATGATTTGTGTGACATGAGTAGCGTTGTCATGTAAAGCACGACTATATTTGAAATTTGAAATTTTTGGTTCTAGATTCTTGGTTATTAATATATTTTCGCATCTAACGTTAAGAATTGACTTTAATTAACAATTATTCAATAAATTTTAATAGTATACTAACTAGTAGTATGTCTTGGCATTATAACTTTAAATATCTACCTAATATCATGATGTAAAATGTGACTATGGATTTTGTTTAGGTGATCGTATAATAATAATATAGATAGTTAATTAGTAATTTAAATTCAGAATTTCAATTATTTTAGCATTTTTTTTTTTTACTTACCATCCATGAAGAAAAGTAATTCCGCGACAAATATTTAATGCAATTTTTAATTTTCGAGACAATCCGATATCAAATTTCTCATATAGTTCTTTCAAATTTCCATTTTCAGTCCATCCGAATACACCCAAAGTGTTTCCATCCATTTCACATAATCCATAAAAATTAATAATATAATCACATTTTCCTAAATTACTCAAAATTGCTAATTCCGCACGAACTTTATTTAAACTCGTTTCTAATTTGGATTTCATCCATGGTTGATCATTTTTGTTAAATTGATCATATTCGTCAATGATTTTACATGCCACATCTTGACCTCTATAACGTTTTTTATGTATTTTGTATTTATTAACAACTTTACCCTGACTATCAATTGGTTCAAATAACTCATTTGAATCAATTTTATTGATAATAGGATTAAAACCTCTTTCAGATGATTTGTTTTTTAAAGTTAAAATATGTTCAAAAACGTTACTTATTTTTTTATCAAACGTTGTTACGCCACCTTCAATTTTTTCCAAAAATGTTGTCATTTCAAACATATCTTCTTGTAAGATTTCGATATCTATCCTTCTTTCTTCATCATTAGCATTTACCATTGACAATTGCAAGTCACCAACAATATTATCAAAATCTATGATTAATTGTTGAAACATTATTTTAATATGATCACTCGAATTAAATTTTCTATAACCAGATAAATGAGTTACATCTTGAACAAATGTTCTAATTTCTCTTAAAATAGCAACGAATTTTTCGAAAGAAATATAGTATGATTGCTTTCGAAATTTACTTTCATTTTCTTGTTTACGCCGATTTAATGCTTGAACAGCTATTTCAGCTGCTTGTACTCTTTCAATCAATGCTGCACATGTTTTCTTATTATACTGAGCACTTTTATATGCTTTTACAGTTTGCTGCGTAAGTGAAGCCACTGCTGCTATCAAAGGAAGATAAGGGTATATGATAGAGCAAATTTCAATAGAACGTGTTGATAATGAACATTCACGTTCAGGCTTAAGTTTTTTTATTTCTCTGCTAATAATTGGATTGACAATTGGTTTAAGAGTTGATACAACTTCCTGGATATTTGGACGATCATTTGGTTCAAGTTTCCAACATTCTAAGTAAATAAAATAAAATAAGATTAATTTATTTTTGATTTTTTTTTTAAAAAAATAATATAATAATTTATTAATTACCTTGATATAAATTACGATACACATCGGGAGTTTCATCAATAACCTCTTCTCTTTTTCCATCTAATATGGCTAAAGCTAAACTTATATCATTATTATAATCATCATTTGTATCTTTTGAACCTTTTAGAGAAAATGGTTTACGTCCACTTGAGATTTGCCACATAAGAACTCCAACGCTATATACATCAGATTTTTCATTTAATTCATCGTCTTTTTGATTAATAATATTATCGTCAATTTCGAAACTTTTTGGATCTATATAAGATATCATTCCATTTACTTTTGATTTATTATTTGATATTTCTCCAACCATTTTTGATAAACCAAAGTCTGATAATTTAATCTTTTTCTGATGTATAAGTACACTGTTCGCATTCTTTTTAATAAAAAAGATTTAGATTTTGTATATTAGAATAATAAATAATTATAATTAACGAGTTAAATTAACGAAATCAATATATTACCAGATTACAATGAACAATGCCACTATGATAATGAATACATTCTACAGCACTTGCCAATTGTAACGCTAACTGATATTTATCTTTCCAATCAAGTTTATTGAAATGATTTTCTAAAAAAGTATTTAATGTACCACTATCAGCGTATTCAAAAATTAAAGAATATTTCTTTGCATCTAATAATAATAATAATAATAATAATAAAAATATTATAAATTTTATTTGTTAAAATTTATTTTATAATCATTAACAATCATATTATTTCTTTTAAAACTTACCAGTTTCACGAGTGATCCCATAAAATCTTAAAATATTTTCATGAATATCAACTCTTCTATGAAATTTTATCTTTTAGGATAAATACAAATAAAATAGTTCTTTTTAAATATAAAATTTTTCAAAAAATAATTAAACAAAATTTTTTTTACATAAAAAATTTTTTTTTTTATGTACCTCTTTAACAACTTTTTCAAGGGTTTGTTCATCATTATTATAAGATTTCAAAGCGATAAATCGATTTTTCCAAGTAGCACAATAAACGTCTCCGGATGAACCACTTCCTATAGACTTTATATCTTTAAAGTCCGAATAATTAAAATGATTGATGCTACCATCGGATATTGAATTTTCTAACCAACTAACGGTATTTGACATTATGTATTAAAAATAGAGTTCAAAAAAAAAAAAAATTTGAATTTATTGGGCATTATACAACATATGCTGTACAACGGTAATACAATTGTCGATCATCGAATACCAATGACGACACAAATCAGATTACATATGATATAAAATTTATTACTACTAAATGATTTAAATCTTCCATTATACAGTATATCCATTAAAAAATCCGAAAAAATATAGCAAGTCGAATAATTTCCATGATTTGAGATTATAATTCTTTAAATATGCTATCTTTACAAAAAATATATGGAATATATACAAAGGATCAACTTTTTTTTAGAATAATTTTTTTTTTTAAAAAAAAAAAAAATTGCGTAATTTAATAAAAGAAATTGGATCAATGAACAATGCTTGATTGGACTAACGACAAAATTGTTGAGTAAAATATCACAATTTACTCAAAAAGGTTTATCATTGATGCTACGGTACATAATATTAAATTTTCGTTAAATAATTATTATAGTCAACTCTTTCTGCTAAGTGCACCCCCCTTGGGACCATAATGAAAATTTGAAAAACGTGCATTTAGAGAGGGTGTGCATTTAGAGAGAGAAATTTTATATGATCTCTTATATACTTAGAAATATATAATACGTATAATACGTACACTTAGGGAGAGTGCTCTTAGAGAGAGTTGACTGTATGAGGATAAGCTTTTGTTATTGTTTAATAGTTGGCAAGTTCGATTAGTCCTTTAATATACTTTATTTCTATTATTATATTTATTAGAAACATTAAGTAAAATATTTACAAATTCTTCTAAATTAAATTTAAATGGACCACTTTATTTATTAAAGTGAAATTTAACAATCGATATATTGAATGGGCGTTTCTTTTCTGTTCTTTAATATCTTCATCATCTACACTTTCATAGAGGTGCTCACCGCTTTTTGCAACTATGAAAGTTATTTATTTAGTTAATATAAAATTTATTATTATTAAGAATAATTCGTAAAAGTGGAGAACTATTTACTGACCATAATATTAATCCAAATGATGTAGAAGAATAAATTACGAAAAAAAGATATTTAAATTCGAATTATTATACGTACTTGTCAAAAAAATCTCTCATTTTAATATCTCTACAAACACGTTCAGAAGCCACATAGTTTATAGTACCACCGGCTTTTCCATTGTCTAATATCATTTGACTCTGTTTTTGAAATACCAATTTTGGACCAAACCTTGGTCTAATAATATATTTTCCGGTTTAAGATCGAAATGTAGAACGTTATTATTATTACAGTCACACGCTATATCCCTGCAAACTCTGGTTTTAAAACTCCATCTCACTGTATGAGTTCTAAGATAATTTGATAAATTTCCGTTTGGAACATATTCCAACACCAATCAATCTTCTCTTATGACTCCATATATTATTATGCTTTTGAAACTTAAAATAATTACTATATTCTTTCAAAAAAAAAATTTTTTACGAGTTTACTAAATGATTATTAAAAGAAATATTTACTTTTATTTTTTCCTTTTTAGTCCTACCTAACCTATTTTTTACTATAATAGTTTTTCCCTGATAGGTAGTCAAATAAACCTCTCTCATTGCCCCACGAATAACAAGTGGGGCGATACATCAACTCTTATTTATTAAAATTCTATTATTGGACAATATCTTTTTGTTAAATGCTTTATTTCTCTCTCTAATAACTTTCATATAAACAATAAGAAATAAAAAACGAAAAAAAAACTAAATTAAATAATTAAATAGGAAATAAAAAAGAAAAATTAAGGTTAATAATTCTTTCCCTACGTTATATTGCAACTTATCATTTATTTAAAATTGATCTTTCAATTTTATGAGATTTTATTCCATTTTCTTATCTATTGTATATTTTAATCATTAAATAAATAATGTAATTAGAACGAAGAAAACTAAAAAAAAAAAGATAAAATTTATAAAAGCAAAAAAAGCTACCATATTGTTCGAAATAATTTATGGCATAAAGATCGATACTACTTCTTGCTCAATTACTATAATATTCATTATTAATACTATTCCAATTTTTTTTGCAATAAATTGCTATGAATATTTCTCTCGTAAAACAATTACTTTCATCGGTTTAATTAAAGTTAAATTGTAATGAGAATAACTCACTTAGAATTAATATGATTGCTAGCACAATATTATAAAAAATAATAATAATAAATACTCATGATCCTAATTGGACCTGGGTATCCTGGATTTTCGCCGAAGTCTATTTCACCGAAACACATTTCACCGAAGCCATTTCGCCGAAAATTTAAAATCATATTTTCCAAAATATCCATATGATATTTACAAAATCTTGTTACTAAAAACATTATTAATTTATTTCGATTTATAGTTTAATATTTATCAATAAGAAATCGGGTATTAGATTGAATTTTTAATGATAAAAAGTCATTTCGGCGGTCGGTGAAGTAGATTTCGGTGAAATGGATGATTCGGAGGAAAAGTATTCGGCGAAATGTCTATTTAGAGAAATTTCCATTCGATGAAATGTCCCTTCGGCGAAACATCCTTTCGATGAAATGGCTTCTGCGAAGAGTCCTCCGGCAAGAAAAATAAAAAGTATGAGGTAAGCAAAATTAAGAAAAAAAAAACAATTCGAATATGAAAATATTAAATCATTAAATTACTTCAGTTAAAGTTATATAAACAATTTTTTTAAAAATTTCATATTAAGTCATGTTTGGGGTTACGATACGTTTCGCCGTTTCGCCTAAGTCCATTTTGGCGTCAGAATTGTCAGATCCATTCACGTATATATAAAAGATTAAAAATGGAGTCCTTTCATATCCTAAGTATTTAGTATACAAGATACAATTATTCAATATCGTACCACAAAGTAACAAGACTCACGTGAATACATTGACTAACATCTATTTTCCCTCTCCTTCACCTAAATGTACTTTTTTTAGACGGTCGGGCAGGTATTCATTTTTTCATATTTTTTTTTTTGTTTCTTTTCATATTCATAGTACATTCTAGATTTAACTAATTTACCCACCAAGTTATTTACTTATTTATCATCCCATAAAAACGGAAACGAGTAGGTGACAAATAATGTACTATGGTCACTATGGTCACGTGCACAAACTTTATAAATCCCGACCTATTATACTACTCAAATGTAGTTAGCGCATAAAATTAAATTGTTGTATGACTTGTATCACTCACCCATTCATTTTATGCATTAGCGCCCTTGTACATTTTGATTATTTTTATTTTTATTTTTAGAAATGATCATCCAATTTATATAATTTATAATACACAAGGTGGGTTACGCCGGAAATCTACAGAAATGTCATATATATAGGGGTTTTTTTTTTTTTTAAAAAAAAAAAAAAAAAACTAAAACCAAACAAAAGTAGTTAAATTTTAATAAAATGAGTAAAATGAAGTTTAAAAAAATTATTGAAGAAAAAATTGAAAAAGATGGCAAAGTTAAATTAAAAGTCCAAAAAGATGGATTTCATTCAGTGTTAGTCCGTTTAAATCCTAACGAGAAATTATCAAATATTCGTCAAGAACTTGAAAAAAATTCGGTAATTTCAATGAAAGATATACATTTGTTTGCAGCGAAAAGAAATGTAATAGCAAGGGAAGAAGAAAAAGATTGGAAATTAGATGATATTATAGAAACAAGTGGTAATGATAAAATTTTATGTTTAGTAAAAAGTTCGACTCCTAATGTGAGATTTTTGATAGATCATCATAAATTAGAATATGGGCGTACTATAACTCCTAATGGAATTGAGGTAGCTAGTGAAAAATCCTTTGACATAGAGGAGGGTTGTAAATTGAAGGAATTTGGTGCTGAAGGATACGGAAAAGGAAAATATGAATATAATTCAAATGAAAGTGAGATTATAAAAACGTTATTATCTTTAAGTAGTGATATTGATGTACAAAACTTTGCAAATTTTGCATTATCATTTGGAAAAACGAAAAGTACAAGTTCTAGTAATTCTACTGAAATTAGTTCAATGTGTAATTTTACCTTTTATAACAAAGTATCTTTAAAATTATTTGAAGATTTAGAACAAATAAATTATGATCATTATCTTAAACCAACTGAAAAATTTCGTAATAAAATAGAAATGGCTATAAAATCTGCAAATCCTAGAAAAGAATTTAAGGAAATTACTAAAGAATTTGGTCGATTCATTTCAAATGAAGTTCTTTTGGGAGGAAAAATTTATTTTGAGGGAGAAGAAAGTTTACAAGAAACTTTAAAAGAAAATGAGAAAGAATTTGGTATGAATTTAAGTAGTCCTGCTTCAAAAACTGAAGCAAAAAAGAATGCTGTAAATTCAATTGGAAAATTTAAGCGTTCTAAAAATGAACTATTTAAATTAATTGGAAGTAAGCAACCTAATAGCCTTGAAGAATTTGATGAAAAAACTTGGATTGAATCTTTAAATGATTTTGAAAGTTGGGGTTGTACGGAATATAAAAAACCTGTTAGCATTTTCCGACCTTTACCTTATGATTTACGTAAAAGAATCTTCAAATCTATTGGAAAGAGAATTCTTTATAATGATCCAGGAGAAGATTATATTTATCTGCCTGAAAAAAAAAGTTTTGAATTAAAAAATGTGCCACCACATATAGCGGATATTATTCAAAAAGAAGATGCCGAATGCAATATTTTTGCTACTGTTATCGATACTGATGATTCAAAAAATGATTTTTTTAATTGTCAAATCCTTTGGATACCAAATAAGAAACCGAGACTCATAATTCATTGTATTCAAAATTCTAATTTTAAAAAACCAAAGTATAACCTTAAAATCGGACTGATGGTTGTTGGTTATGATATAAATTTCGACTTCGTTAATTCAGATTCTAATATTCACTTTGAAGTAATAGAAAATAAAATTGAGGCATCAAAATCGATGTATTGTAAAAAAATTTTTAAAGATTCATTTACTAAAGAATACAAAGAATACGAAGAACATATTTGTATAGGAATTCCAGTACTAAGAGAATTGAAACCTTCTCTTGATTCTCTTGTCATTGGCCATCATTTTTTCAATTATCAAGAGAGTAATAGTTTTGGGACATACACATTTTCTTATTGTTTAAAGAAAAATCATTATGTTGAATTACCAGGATTTACTTTTCACACGCTCATTATCTCAAATTATCCTGATTGTAATGAATATAAAATAATACCTTTTAATTGTAGAAATTCTATCATTGATAAAATATTATCTTTTAATTTTAGGAATTCTGTCCCTTTACCCAATGATGATGACACTCATTCTTCACAACCAGTAATACCAAAATACATTAGTTTACATTCTAGTGAAGATAATTGTGCTCCAATTTTCCTAAAACAAAAGCAGAATGAAATTAAAATAAAATATATGAAAGGTAAAGAAAATTGTAAAGATAATTGCATTTGCAAAAAGACTTTAAAAGAAGATGATCTAAAATTGCACTCTTTGATAACTCCAAAGGTATTTATTTCTATTTTTTTACTTACTTTATTATATTTAATTTACATATTGATTTGATTTGTTTTTTTATTAGGCTCTACATGAATCTACATGAAACTGATTAGTCATACGAATATGACGAATATGATTAAAATGTTTTGTTTGATCATTTTTTTTTAAAAATATTTTTATTATTATTTATTTTTTAAGATAGAAAATTTAGGATTAGGTTTATCAAACAATAAAAATTTTTTATTTTTAATTAAAAATCTTTAAAATATGTGATGTATTTGAAAAATATTTAAATTGTCCGCTAAAGAAGAACACATGAAAAATTATCTTGAATAACAGATATCGATCAAATTCTAAAAATTTACATGTCGTTCAATAATTTTTTATAGTTATTAAACGCATTTATTTTTATATATATATAAATAATAAAGCTAAAATTATTTTGAAGCCACAAAAAAACCATATATATTATAAAGTCGTTCTTGCAGATCTTTGACGGGTACTATGACATCCGAAGCGGAACGGAGGACTTTTACGTTCGGCGTTCGGCACGTCTGTCGTGCACGTGATTAACGCTCATTCCATGTGATGTATAGACTGTATAGTGTATACTAATCAATGCATAGCTTAATTAATTGAATGAATTTAGTTATTAATTTTTTATTCATACATTTTATTGTTTTACTGATGGTAAATATTTTTATATTTATTTGCTTAATATGATAATAATTATTTTTATTTTATTCGTTCGATTTTATAAGCAATCGATTATACTAAAAGTTAGAAGTGTGATCCGGTCATTTGTAATCTGGTCATTCGATTAAAATCTGGATTTAAACAAAATAGGATCAAAGTTTTTTTTGGCGGGATGACAGTCGTTCGATGAAAATGATGAATATGATTGGCTGAATGAAATTCATGATATGTGCTATTTGATCAAAACCGGATTATCATTTTTAATTCTAGTAAAGTGTAACACTAAAATATACTAAATAAAGTTAAACCAATGTGAAAATCAAAGTTGCTTTGGACCTTCGATATACATGTAGTCTTAATATCACGCAAAATTGATTACGTGAATGTCAAAAGGTCATACCTAGGCGTATGAAAACTGTCATTTAAAAATATTGAAATCACTTTTTTTACTTTAACGTTTAACCTGTTTAAGCAAAAAAAATACCATTTAGAATAAAAAAGTACCATGGAATGTTTAATAAAATAAAATTTTAAAGAATTTGGAAAGTTCGCACGTGAAACGATATTAAAAATTTTTACCACGTACCGACATATAACCGTACCAAAATTCTTTATTTTTTATTATAATTAATTATATTACATTATAATTCTATATCATTACAGGAATACTTTGAGGAAACCTGAATAAATTACAAGAATCATATTCTTTTTTATATCAATCAACTTTCCAAAAATATTACCGTAATACCTTACTTGCAAATTATCTAATTCTCTATCAATGAAACCTTGATAACTAAAAGGAAAAGTAAAATTTGATTGAAACTCTTTTCCGAAATCATTTATTTCTTTAACACATTGGTCATCTCGTTCTTTATATTTCCAATTAGCTTCCAATTGTAAACAATAAAGTGCATTACGATGTATAAATGAAGTCTTATCATAATAAACATCATTTATATCCCCACCATATAAATCGAATGAAGCAAGAGTAGTGCATTTAGCTCCATCCAAATAATCTACCAAAACATTTATAGCCGTTTCATTTAATGCTTTACCTTTATTAATATAAAAAGATTTTACTTTAAAGAAATTTGGACTATGTTTCGGACTAAATACATCATATTTAGATGAATTAGAAAGTATTTCAACTGATTCAATAAATGTTTTTTGTATATATTGTGTTTCAATCGGGTTTGTCGGTTTTGGTGCATCACATAAGAATCTTCTCATTGCTTTTTTTGCTTGTCTAGGCGGACCTAAATATACTCCAGTAATTGATAATAAGTTTTTCCTCAACCTCAATTTAAGACCGGGTAACTAACTCTCTAAGCATTCGTCAAATTAATCCCGGTAGCGTTTCTGAAAGGCCTATGCAATCGCAGACTTTGATTTCTGATTTTTTTAATCAACCACCTGAGGCAGAATTCTTCCATGTCACCGTATATTCCCGTTAATAATTCACAGTACCATGTAGCGATATAGTCGCAATTTTTATGTATTGTAGGCCGGGTTCCGGCAACGTTTTATTTCATAAATAAAGTATTATTTTATCGAACGTATATGAGAAACGGGTCACGTGCAATGATGCAATGCCTGTGCGACATAAAAACATATATTAGCGCTTGTTTTTTTCCCATCCCAGAAATAAATTATATCTCACTCCGGAACGTAACACTATTTTATATCCGAGCCAAATTTCCTTATAAAAGCGCTATGTCAACTATCACTCTCAGTTGTTTGGTCGTAGGCGAAAACCCTTATGAAAATGCTTTCAACGTTAAAATTAACAAGACAGAGGCGGTTAGTGAACTCAGGGACGCTATCAAGGAAAAAAATACACAAGCTTTCGCTAACGTTGACGCCAAAGACATTAAGCTATGGAAGGTCGACGTTTCCTTCGAAGAAGAAACGAAAAATTAACCGCCGTCAACACAAAAATAAACGTTAATATCAAGGACGAGCTTGGTGGTGTGGAACTGCTTCCACTTTCGAAGATTAGTAAACACTTCACCTCTCAGCCAGCCGACGAGCACATACATATAATAGTACAGCGTCCTGTTGAGACGAAAGAAGTTCACTGCACCGCAACGTATGGGCGTAAGTCAGAGAAATTCTTGTGGGCTGTAACTCGTGGGCAAATAACCTTGTCAGCTTTGAAGACGAGGCTTCGAACTTGTTTTACTTTCCCAGACGGAACTGAGGACGAGCATATTGTCATAAATCGTGAGAGCGGAAAGGAACGTATTCGTTTGGTAGATGATGAGTATTTGGCATGTATAATCTGGTCTCAAGGGTTCAAAGTTGACCTCCCAATTGTCTTGGACACATGTAAGTAATGTTTAATATTAGCCATGTTTCTTCGTTATATTTACGCAACAGATACTAACAGCTTTAATCTTGTATTTCCACAACAGCGCAACAACCATTCTCCTCGTGGAGGTTTGATAAGATGAAGTCACTCTTCGGCCTGAAAGCAGACGATTATAATGAACTACCTACTTTTGCTGGAGGTGTTAAGGAAACGCCAGAAGAAATCCGAAATCTAGTTATAGGTGAATTTTTGAGATTACACAAGACATCCCAACACATCACAAGCGCCAATGAAGCCACCCGTTGTGAATATATTTCCCGTATCATTTATGGTGTGGCATCAATATATGGAGGTGAAATAAAGGTTTATCCTCAGTATGAAATCTCAGGAGGTCACGGCAAAGGTCCTGTTGATTGGGCTATAAAGATAGGGAATATCATTATCACTATCACCGAGGCGAAAAAAGAGGACATCAACAAGGAATTGCACAGAATGCGATCCAACTGCAGACATCCATCCAGCGCAATCCTAAAAAACGAACTTATGATACGGCAGGTTTGCAGGAAGACGTAATGTACGGGATTGTATCAACTGCTGTGGATTGGGTAATAATCAAGCTAGTTTCGTCCAGCTCCGATAATAACAGTGAAGGAAAAGTGGATGTATTGTTAAGTTCGTTGTCTCCCTCTCCATTACCAATCAACAAGGCTATATTGACCCATGACGATTTGGTAGAACCTATCAAGGACTTGTTTGGGCAAATCAAGTGGGTGTTTGATAGTCAGATTGAATCACAGGGTTTATCGAAGCGGGTAAAAACAGAATAATAGGATAGAGTATTAGCATAGACGTCATGTATCGCGGGCTACGTCCCGAACCTTTGTATTTATTTTTTGCATGTATTAATAAAGCAATTTTACATTTACCACGTATATGTAACATTGAATAATTCTTTCGTGTATGAAAATATTATCTATCATGTCATCTGATCTTAAAGTATTGATCACTGAACTTGAGGCTAAGATAACTGATGAGAAAGCTAGGTTTGAAGTTTTGATCACTAAACTAAAGCAGGATCAGGCAGAAATAGATGCTAGAATTTTAAAACTAGAGCAGGATCAGGCAGAAAGAGAATCTAAGAAAAATCGCAAATTCCAGACCAGATGCATCCAGATAGCTAAGGAAATTCTTAATGAGGAACCTATTATCGAATATCGCCCTCCTTTCCTGAATGGATTAGAGCTTGATGCTTTCTTCCAAAAATATCAAATTGCGTTGGAGGTGCAAGGGGCTCAGCATCGGTTTCATAGCACCAGTTGGTATAAAGATGTCAAAAAACTTGAGGACATCGTTAATCGTGATCGGCAAAAAAGATGCATTTGTCTGGATAATGGAATCTTCCTTCTCGAAGTATGGTATGATCAAAACCCGGAAATTGTTATTCCAGAAAGGATACGAAAAATTAAAGAATTCGTTAATCAAGCATCCAAAAGTTTCGATTTTCTATAATCAAATTTTAAACCCTGGCATCAGGCTCTCAAGGAGGAATATTACTTTGAAGATGGAATACCCCAATGCATCAGATCTAGAAAATGCGTCAAATAATCCATTTTTTACTTGTTCAGAAATATTCGAAAGGCATCTGATCAATTCTCTAAGTACGATATTACGATGACGAGCCATCTGGTCCCGTGTCTTTTTTCACAACGGGCCAAATATACACAACGGAAGTCAAAACGTTATCATCGGTCTTGAATTCATTTTGCTATAAGCAAACAGGTGGCGTAAAATTTGTATCGGCAAAAAATGCGCAGTATTTCGGAAAAATTACTGCCGATCAAATGAGTATCATGTGATCGTGTGTCATTTTGACAATATATATACCCATTACTTCCTTTATTTTTCACTTTACGCGTCGTGTTTACAAACTCATCCTATACTTTTCAATGGTCAAACGACTTTCTACATGGTTAAGATCCGGTGTCGTTGATAAGAATATCAAAGACAATTTCAGATCAACTTTAAACGCGTTATATGATACTTGTCCGTTAAAAATTTCCCGCAGAGCTTTACGTGATTCACTCCACGACAATTTGTATAATGATTAGGTTTTTCGTCAAGAGTCTCCAGCAAATATTACGGTGTTTGGCTGGTTTGAGGATCAAAGACTGTCAAAACTGTCATCCCCGTCCTCTAAACAACCTAAACAACCTAAACAGAAACGAGCCTGTGCGGTTTTTAAAAAAACTCGGCTTTATTCATCTAATGTTACTACCAATAATGTCGACAATCAGATAAATAACAATTACATAAATGATAAGACCATTCGTCGTGATTCTTCTCCATCATTGAGACAAAAATTTTCATTTACCGACAGCGAACAAGGGGCATTTGTTGAACATATTATTAATCTTGCTGAGAAAGCAATATACAAATTTCTCGTTGATAATGAACGTAACATTCCTCTAAATGTTGTAATGGATTTCGTATCTAAACAGAGGCCTCCAGTGAACATTGATTTTTCCAACGCAGATTTATTGTGCATGCTTAATTTTATCATCGACAATATAAATATTTTTATAAGGGTGTCAGCTTTTCACGGTCAGTATAAGACAAGACTCGTTGAACTTTTCAGCAACCTTAAAAAAACGTGCGAAATAAGATGGCGCACGGGATTATTACTGATAATAAAGGCCGTTGGAACGACCATTCACTTCAGAATGTCGCAATTTTAGCTTGCGAAATCGTCATTTGTGTCGGTAAGTAGTTTATAAGAGCAATCTAGCTTTATATAGGGGTGTAATTTTTTTATTTCATTTTATTTGTCATTAGGCGGTAATCATGAAGACATATGTGCGTATAAAGAAAATGTCGATAACGAAATAGTTCGGCGGTGGATTAATAGCGCAGTTAAAAACTGTCCCCAATTACCACAGAAAAGAAAACACGGCGATGTGGATGATGCGAGCATTGGCGAGATAACGGAGTTTGTCATGGATATTCTCGAGGAGGTTGAAGAGTCTAAAAAAGGGGAGAAACAAGATATTTTAAAGTTAGCATTAAAGGGAAATGAGCAGATAATACAATTCTGTAAAGGAATTAAGATGAAAGAAAAAGATTCGCAAATTCGCAAATTTATTCAGTTTGCAAATTTAATGTTTGACATTGTAAGTATTGGTTATTATATTTTTTTACACGATAAATCAAATTGCATAGTAGCGAATTGCTAAGCCTATATTTATTTTTAGGACTTAAAGGTGAGGAATAAGAAAATACTCAAAATAGAAAAATAAGTGAGGTATGTATTTGTGATGCTCTGTGTAGTTTGCAATATAGCATTGGGAAAAAGTTCTCGCACAATTTCGTCACATCCAGAGTCGGTGTGATGTAGTCACGTCCAGAGTCGACGTGATGTGCACCCTTAATCTGAGAGCGATTCAGTTCGTGAAGGGTGGGGATTAATCGGCATTGTCCAAAGGGCGTGATCGTATTACGAACATTCTGAAAAATGTAGTTTCTTATTGGATCATATTTGTAAGGGTGTAGTCCCTTGGTCTCTGCCGGACTCGTTGGCTTAACTGAGAATAAACGAAGCTCCTTTTTCCGTGTGCTACTTGTTAACTGCTCAAAGTTTATTACTGTTCTTGTGTAGCAATTTCTAACAACCATTTTGAATCTATCTTTTAGTACTCAAATAAAGGCTAAACTTCAAATGAAACTTTCTACAATGTTTGGTCAAATAATTTATTGCTAATGCTTATTAAAGGTTCTTTTCAATTATAACTAACTCTCTGGTAACTGGCTTAAGAGGATTACGAACAAATTAAAGAATTTCAGCTAATGCCATCATAGAAATACTATTAGTGTAATAATTGGTGTAATGTTATCGCAATAATCTAAATAAAGTATTAGTCCTTTATTTTAAATTGATATGAAAATAGGCTGTGTATTAAATTCCTATATTTTTTTCCCGTATGCTATATTTCTCGATCCTGAATTTTTTTCTATCTATAAATGCGCAGAAGATATTCGGTAAAATTCTTGCCGAAGAATAGGGTCTGTGCGACGTACGATTAGCATATATATTTTTCGGATTTTATTTCGTGTCATGTCCCCAATTGGTATGGAGCGCTAGCCGAAAGTATTTTTCAGCATTATTTCGCATATGGGATTTGAGGATGTGTATGCTAATCACGAAGTCATTTTTATAGATTTGCAGGGAGATAGCGTAATGACGAAATGCAGTGCGTAATTGCGGTGAAAATCCGGGGAATGTTTTCTCCTGCGAAATTTACAAGTGATATAAAAACAGGACAGTATCTTTTTTCGAAACCTATTGCCCAGAGAGAAAAGGAATCAATATGATGGATTCTGAACAAAATAACGAGCCGATTTCAGAACCGCTCAAGACGCCTAGAGAAAAAAACAGTACTCCCTCATCTGATAATCCCTCTCTCGTTAGGTATAGAAACCTCGGATATAATATTCTCAAAAGTCTCGATGATAAAGCTGTCAGAGATATAGATTTCCCAGAATTAGAACCATGCTCCGAATGTAATAATGACATTTTGACATTTCCTCTCAGAGAGTTCACCCGACTACGCTGTGGGCACATTTTTCATAGACTCTGTGCTGAAAAAAAGCTTATGCTTACAGCTATTTGCAAAAATAACGGGCCACCCTTGCTCCGAAGTTTCATACGCATTCATACGCAGTCATACGCAGTCATACGCACAAGAGCATAATTGATCGGCATAATTCCGGCCAAATTATAATTTGACCAGAATTATAATTTCCATTTTAGGAAATTTGTTGTTACACAAGTTCTGAAAAAGAAATTTTCATTTTTTGGAAAAAACAAAAATTGTGGAACGGCAATCGCCAAAAAAGGATATGATCGTCATAGCCGTTTTATAATTCTGGCCAAAATTATAATTTGTCCGGAATTACTGCCGATCAATAAGTATGACTGCGTATGACTGAGTTAAGCCGAATTAAACATAATTACGGCCAAATTTATGGAATTTCCTTTTTTGGAAATTATGTTACACAAAATCCGAGACGAAATTTTTTTGAAATGGAATTTTGTGGAACGGCTATCGCCAAAAAAGGAAATGATCTGCATAGCCGAAGAAAATCACGTGATTTAATTCAACTCGACTCGATTCGGTTTGATGGGCCAACTCGACTCGAATTGAGTCGAGTTTATATTTTTTATAATTTTAACTTGACTTGACTTGACTCGATTTAACTCGAGTCGAATTGAGTTTACATATAACTCAACTCAACTCAACTCGTTCGGAGCTTTAACTGCGTATGAATCTTCAGAGAAAAAATGAATTAGGTGGTCCGTTATTTTTGCAAATAGCTGTAATGTACCAAACCCATGTCCATTCCCCGATTGTGAAAAGAATGTAGAAATCACAGAAATATTTTCTACTACTGTGAATTATCCGATTGGCCGATTGCCGGAATCGAATGTTATTATTCAAGATTCACCATTATCCTTCGGCCTTAACTAACACGATGAGTGAAAGGTTTATCCTAACTTCTCCACCCATGCGTATGGAAGGAGTTGAGAATATAGGAACTCAACAGATGGAAAGTCAATTAAGATGTGTTAAATGTTCTGAGGACCTTTCTTTGTATCTTCCTCTTCTAGGCTTTCTTCAAACTTTCCTCGTCCTCCACTAAAACCTCTCGTATATTTAACCTGCAAATATATTGTGCATTATGAATGCATTGATAAAGTAGGACAAACTTGGGATTCTGGGACAGCAGCTATCACATAGGTCTAACCATAATTTAGTGTACCCCAGACCATCTCACCTTGTTTTCTGATATGATAACACTATACCTGTTTTTCTATTCCCAGACCACCTAACCTTGATTCCTGATATGTTATTACTTGATAGCTAAAAAGAACCCCCAAGCGTTGTAGATAAAATTAAAATCATATATTTCTAGGTATTATTACCACACATGAATCCATTCCAGGGTATCATAATTTTATGCTATATCAGATTGCCTTTATAAGTGCCAAATGTATGAAGGACACAAAGTGTCTGTAATACCGATGGCATGATTCAGCAATCCATTGTGGCATACTATTTTTATGATACTCTAAAATGGATTTATTTGATGATTTAAGCCATTCATGTTCTACCAAAAATGTAAAGCAAATAGTCAACTAGACATATTGTAAAGCTTTTTCTGCTATACGAAAAAATCTGGGACAACAGGTCTAACCAAAAGTCTAACCAAAAATCTGACCAAGGTCTAACCAAGAATGTATAGCAGGAAGGTAACTAGACATATTGTAAAGCTTTTCCTGCTATACGAAAAAATCTGAGACAGCAAAGTCTAACCAAAAATCCAACCCAGGTCTAACCAAAAAATGTATAGCAAGTAGTCAACTAGACATATTGTAAAGCTTTCCCTGCAATACGAAAAAATCTGGGACAATGAAGTCTAACCAAAATTTAACCCTAATCATAAATTGCTCTGATTCTTTGACGAAGCCTATTTTCATACCGATTTTGATAATAACTCCCAATATGAGATTGACATCGACCACTAGATGAACCTGTAGGTTTAAGAAAAGCGTGATTTTGTCTTCCAATGAATGCGACAACCTTCTGGCCTTACACAAGGACGACCATAAGGCTTTCCTGTATTATGTAAATATTCACAAGTATATTCTCCAATCATTTTTATTAAGTATAAATAAGTTAAATTAAAAAAAACTTTACATGATATAAAAATTATGTCTACCCAAGCTATACCAGCCAAGCCAACATACCATGAAATTAAATCAGCTCTAATTGCAGTAATTAAAGCAGGTATCCTTTACAAGAAACCAAAGGATGGTAAATTCATGTTATGTTACAAACAAAGGATAATCAACTTGCGTCAAGCAGAAGAACCAGAAAATTTTGTTCTTGAAACAGCACAATCTATTCTACCTAATGAGACAAAGTATCAGCAAATCTTGGAAAATTATAAGACCTGGTATAGCAGAGAGCCAAAACTTTTGTCTGCTATTAATAAGCTATACAGGTTATACTATGAATTGGCAAAAGACTACTTCCTCACAGACTCCCAAGCAGATGATGAGGTAGAAGACTATCTTAATTCGTAAGTACCTATTGTGATGGAAGTTTTGTATCATCTGGGTAACCAAAAGTTCTTTCCTCACAAAGGATCTCTTTAATTCTTTACCATCATTATCAATAAACCAGTATAAAACTGGTTGATTTTTCTGTGTTAAAGACATATGGATATGATAAATCTTAGGTGACCAATTCATATCTCCTGCTCGACGTCTTCTGCCTTCCAGATCATTTGGTTCAAGTAAGTACCTTACACTTATATCTGGTGGTAGTTTCTCCTCTTCATATCCAACAGGTCCATCACGAGGATAAGAAGATCTGGAAGATACTCGTGATTTTTTTATAGCTTCAGCAGGAGATATACCAAGTTGTTGGGTCTAAGGTTGCTTGCCGAAACCTAGGGGTTTAGGCAATATGGCTTTTCTCCGAAAAGCGAAATTCTGCTTAAACTATATTTAAGTTATATTAAAAAACTGGCGAAACTTTGGAGAAAGGCGAAACTGCCGAAACTTATTATAAATGCCGAAACTGCTGAAACTCTGCCGAAACTATAATAAATCTATAGTAAAATTTTGACGAAACTAATCGTAGGATTTTGAAAAGGTTTAGACAAGCAACCTTAGTTGGGTCATTGAGTTATTTATACTTTCTACAGCAATAGGTAAGTTTTTTACCCAGACTCAAGATCTCGTTTTACCTAAAGTTAGTAAGTCAGATGCATCTTGAAAGGGAAATAATTTCTCAACCAAGGTACGGTTATATCGCTCCACAATGCCAACAGTACGTTTAGACTTAGCTTTTTAAATCTTTATACCATGGGAAATCATCAGCTTTTCACACTCACCTTTAAACTCTGAACCCCTATCTGTAATCAATAATTTTGGTCAAGTGAGTAGATATGTTGTATCATTATATACCTTTTCAAAAGTCCGAGCAATAGTATGAAAAGTTAGGATTCCCTGTCGATCTTTAACACTGGTTGAACCTATGGGGACACTTCCTTTATACCTTGATGCTATATTAACTATATTGAGACAGAAAAGATAAATCACATATCCAATCTTGTCATATAGCATATACAAAATGTCAGCTTGATGAACTTCATTAGGAACTTGTATAGAACTGAAACTTACTCGAGGGATAAATCGGGAACGAGGTTTGTGGACTTGATGTACTGCCTGTCTTTCAAGCCAATCCTGTACTTCATCTAAGGTGAAATCATGTCCAGCATTTTGTGATGTCTCATACAATTTTTTGGCAGTCCTCTGATATCCAGATGGTTGATAAAATATTCTGCGTAAAGTCAAAGACACCTCTACATTTCGTGCTTTATCAGAATCTATCGGAATAATAGGAATCAATGGGAGTTGAACAGGCATATCTTAATTTGTTAAACAGTAACTTCGATTTGTGCAAACGGCTAGTTCAAGAGGAAACAAATAATATTTCCAATAAGGAGAAAATCCGTAAACTCATAAAGGAGATAGAGGTATGTGAACAATACATTTCCTACCTCGAAAAAAATCTTGTCTCACGTGAGAATGAAATTGATCGGTTAAAAGCAGAGTGTCAGTCCACTTTAGTTGAACTTGAAAAGTATCGAGATCACTTAGAGTTAAAGGAAGAGGCACTTGTTGCTTAGGATGAACGTATCATTCAGCTTAAAGACACAGTAGATAAACTCAAAAAACGCATTCAAGAATTATCTTTATGTAAAGGAAAGATAGAAATGGATGAAGATAATGAATTATTCAATCCTATTCTAAGAATACTAGACTGCCGATGGGCAGTTGCAGATTGTGTGTCTGAGATTTGACTATTTTTTGATCGAAATAGAATTCTAATTTCACAAGACATAGATGATGTCTTTAATGCTATCACACAAAGTCTTGATGAAATTATTCGTCAAGCTGCTCTAATGCAAGAAATTGGTATAGACCAACTAAATCAAATAGAAGGATTGCATACATTACTTGGAGAATTTTTAGATCGTACAAATACTCTTAATCAAGACTTAATAAGAGTACGTGATGATTTTACATATGAGAGAAATGCTCGTAGGCACTGGGAAACTATTGCACAACAGAATCAAACACGTATTGCAGGAATACAAATAGCCAATCTAGGTATACGTTTTCTGAATAGACGCAAAGATGCATAACTGGCAAACTAACAGAATCAGCTGGTAAATCAACAGAATCAGATAGCTGAGCATAGAAGGAATGCATGCAGGCTGATGTTATGTTATAATGCTGATACAGAATGTTGAAGAAGAAGGCATGCAGATTGTATACATCAGGCACAAAACTGGCAAAGACAATATAGGATTTCACAAACCCAGGTACAAGCACAGGCCCAAAATATTTTAAATTTACAACAACAAATATTAGCGTTACAAAACAATCCTCCAAACATGGCTATAATACAAAATGTCATGCATACTATATTACCAGGTCTTGCACAGTTACCATTTTATAATGGATAAGAGCCACTAGACTCTTATTACCAAAAGCTTAGAGCTGTCAATGAGATAGCTCGTCCACTAGCTGTTGCTGTTTTTAATGCTGCTATGAGATGCAATGTCATGAAAAATAAAATGACTGGTAGATTTATTCCTGTTCCAGTAAATAATCCATATAATGCCAATGCTGCTATTAATACAGAACCAGAATTTCTAAACTGGTTACAAGGAAAATATAGAGATGTGATAGTTGAAACAAATCAAAGTGCTATAATAGCATTCATGAATGAATCATTTTCACCTATAGATACACCAAATACATATGCAAAAAGGATTCGATCATTAGCACAAGGACATGTATATGCTGAAATTTTATCTTATCTATACAATCATTTGCCTGATGCTTTAGAAATAAGAGTTAGAATTGCTGCTCCTGCTGATCTTGATGCTTTCTTTAATAAGTTGCGTAATAAATGGTATGAAAGTGGAGGGCGAAAAAATCCAACCACTATATAGTAGAATAACCACAGAGTAGAACTGCATTAAAAAAGCTTGCAGATATAGCAGTACGTCTTGACTATACTGGTGACATAACAAATCCTATAGCAATACATGGTTTTATTGAGAGTAATCTTACTAGAAGGTTAGGTGGACAAACACAATATTTAAGAAGAGATCACTTTGGAACTGGTCAGGTTAAAAAGGTGACAAAGACAACCAAATCTTCTCCTAAACGTCATTGCTCAAACTGTGGTAGAACAGGTCATTCCAAGAACAAGTGTCCACAAAGTAAACGTACTAAGAAAGTTAACAATACTCATATAGTTGACTATGAAGAATCTGAAAGTGATGAGAAAACTGATGAAGAAACTGAGGAAGAGTTAACTGAAGAAGAAGAGGAGGAGGATGAACCTCAGAATTGCTTTAGTGTAAAAAAAAAACTTGTCAACGTGAAGTTTCGGTAAAAAATAAAGGAAAGAAATCCCGTACTTTCAAATCTAAAAGAGAACCTATTCTCAAGAAAACTGATGAAGTCTTTCATGCAGCACTGAAGTCTATAATTGCTTCACTAGCAGCACAATGTCCTAAAGAAATCCTCCTACAGATTAATGCTTATACTAATCAAGCATATAAGAATCTGAAAGACCCGCTTTTAAATCATTTTGTTAGTGACTATCCAGTTAGTGAAAGGAAGAAACTCTGGGATGTTCTTTCAGCAAATATGCAAGACATTTTATCTCCTCTAGCTCATGCTGTAAATACTGCAACTCCACTATTACCAACTCCTCCTGCAGATGTACCATCTGAAGTAGAACAGAAATAAGATAAAACACTGAACCATGCAATATATGCCTATTAGCAGAAAAACCTATACTGGCCAAGACCCTTAGAAATCAACTTTCTTCAGTTAGATGATCCCAATGATGTAGTGACCATTTCCTGTAAAATCAAAAATTTATGCATACCCTATGCTATGATCGATACAGGGTCTGACTCTTCAGTAATCTCTTAGAATGTAGCTAAGCATCTAGGTCTTAAAATAGATCGAAAGAATATACATGCACTTAATGGTGTAGCTGGATCAACCAAAACTCTTGGCACTATCAATGAAATTCCCATAACTATCGGTGAAGGTACAAATACAGTCACTATATCAGACGAATTCTCTGTTATACCTACTGAGAAGGATCGAAATAGTAAGGATAAATCATTGCTAATACTTGGTACACAGTGGCAGTATCGTGCAGGTTGGGAACCTGTAGTAAAGGGTGAGTTTAAAGCAAATGTGAATGGACAGGTTGTCTCAATTCCTCTCTTTGTACATAAAGCACAACGTAATGTTTTTGCAGTAGATAGCCAGCCTATAAAAAAAAACTAGTTGATCGTACCTGTCAGCATTGTGGGAAGGAATTCCCATATCCTTCTAATCTTAGACAACATTTTTTACGAAAAAATCCATGTGCAGTAAAAAGTCCTATATAAAGCCCATGCATCAGGAAATTTGTTTAGGCGTAATTTAGTGTAATATTTCAAAGGTGGTGTAATATTTTGAAATATTACACTAAAAACGTAATATTACAAAAGTTTATGATCTTAAATTTAAATAATTATAGTAATTTAAGAATATCTCACTATCTACTCATCAGGAAGTCACGGGAAAAATGTTCATCAAATGTACATCAGTCACTTGATGTACATCATAAAGAAATGCTGAACATCGGACCCTGCAATGTACTACCGATGTCACAACATTCGATGTTCATCACCAAATCAAGATGTTCATTGCCCATACATTACGATGTACATTATTTTACATCATATCAATCTTTTATTATTTATGTTAATATGTCAATGTTAAATGTTATTGAATAACAAATTATTTTATTAAATTACATTATAACAATCTATACTAAAGCTATATTAATCTAATTAATCCTATTAAAAATAACAACGTTTCTATAAAAAAGAAAAAAAATGGCAAAGCTTCACAAAGAAATTCACCATTTTCAAATTCTAACATTTCTAATTGAATCCCTTGAAACCTACAAAAAAAAACAAAGAAAAAGAAAATTTAGTATTTCTGTTAAAGAAAATGAAAAAAAAGATGGTAAGCTTCGCAACGAAACTTACCACTTAAATTAATTCAACTGAATACTCCAGAGGACTCACAAAAAAAAGTTTTGAAGTTATTCTTCGAACTGATTTTATCCAGGAAGTACAACCTACAATAAAAAGATAAAAAAAAATATTAATAAAAAAAAAATAATTTAAAAGAAAAAGTTTCGAAGAGAAACTTCAAAACTTGCCTGAAAAGCCGATCCAAATCTCGAAAATGATTCCTACAAAATAGACAAAAGAAGAAATGGTTAGTTTCTTCAAAACATACCAAAAAAAATTTAAAAGAAAAGTTTTGAAAGTAAACTAAACTTTCGAAACTTACCAATCATATCGTCTAAAATCTGGGAACCTGCAAAAAAAAGAAAAAAAATCAATAAATTAAAAAGTTTCAAAAGTAAACTAACTTTCGAAACTTACCGATAATATCCATTCAGGATCTTCTTCCCCTTTCCCCATTTCTTATCTTAAAGCAAAGCCCGGTTTCATGTTCAAATGGCATCCTTCTATACGTCCTATAAACAAAATAACGAAAAGAAACTGCTTAAAGGATCAACGTAACAAGTGTATGCTCCATTAATGTAATGACATGTTTCAAAAGAATTTTATGACGAACATATCCTTTAAATTTGAATTGAATAAAGGATCTATCACTGTGGCTAGCCTCATTAAATAATTTGTATTGTCCAGCTGATTATCGATAAATGTTTTCCATCATGGTAACTTTGGTATCCAAAGGTTGTATTAAACCACCAGTAATTAAAAAGGGTGAAGCACCAAGTTTCATAAATTAAAGAAACCCCCCTTTCCCGTTTCTTATCCTAAATCCAGTTTTATAGTATTTCAAGCCAGCGTCCTCTTACACGTCCTACAAAAAAAATAACGAAAAGAAACGTTAGTTCGTTTCTCATATTTAAAGTAACAAAAAATTCTCCCTTTCCCCATTTCTTACCTAAAGTCCGGTTTCGTATTCAAGAGCTGGCTCGAGCTGGACTTGAACTTTACTTAAAAAAAAGAGAAAGATGGCGTTAATGATGTTTTATAACGCCATTACACAGCCACACACTCACCAAACAACACCTACCGCATATTCCATAGCCAGAAACCTAAAAAAATAAAAGAAAATTGGCATTAGTATTGTTTCAAATGCCATTATACAACCACACACTCTCTAAACTATACCAACCCATGTGCAGTAATTCTTGCTGATTATAAGGAAGGTGAAGGTGCTCCGAATTTATATCCAAAAAATCCTCGTGAGAAAGTTAAGGTTAATTAATCCACTAGCCGGAAACCTGAAAA